AGGGGGGATTCATCCTCTACTTCCTTCTGGTCAGTGAGGAAGTAAATTCTCTGTTACAAGTGGGGTCGTTCCCAGCTTCAAAAGTCCCTCTCCAGGCCGAGCCCCTGCCGCCCCCGCCGGGCCACCCGGCGCACTGATGATACTCAGCATGACAGACGCGGGACCACACCCCACAGACGCAGCTGGACCTGAAGACACCGTGGAAGGCGGTGAAGGACACGCCACAACAGACCCCACGTGTGCGATTCCGTCAGGCAAACCCACACAGGAAGCAGAAGAATGACCACCAGGAGTCCTAGGATGGAAGGCTAGACTCTGGTTTCTGCCTAGGGGACAAAGGTTCTAAATTCAGTGGTGGTGCTGGCCATGCGCGCTGCGAATGTGCTACACACCAGCCAACCGTGCGCTTTCAATGGGTGACTGTACTGCATGTGAATTACATCTGCGAAAAGTGCTTTCTGAATTTAGACTTGAGGGGCGCCTGGGCGGCTCAGTAGGTTGAGCGTCCAACTCCGGCTCAGGTCGTGATCTCAGAGTTCGTGGGTTTGAGCCCCGTGTCAGACTTGCTGGCTCGCTGCTGTCAGCATGGAGCCCGCTTCAGACCCTCCGTTCCCCTCTCTCTGTCCCTCCCCACCTTGAGCACGCTCACCCTCTCTCTCTCTTAAAAAATGAATAACCATTAAAAAAAGAATAAATCTTTGGAAACAACAAAAAAGAAGATCTCCCTCCGTGTCTACACCTGCTCATTGACAAAAGGGTGTCAACGGCGTCACAGAGCCCACAGCCCTGGAACAAGTTCCAATTCTGCAAGTGCTGCCTCTAGGCCTCTCCCGGCAAACCACTTCAGAACACATACTTCAGGCAGCGAAAACCTTCAGAAAGGGGATCACCTCCAAAGCTCTGTGTCCAACCAGAGGGCCCTGCACAGACAGCAAAGAGAGGGTTTCACGCAGGGCATCCAGCTCAGCTAGCAGCATCCTTTATCCATTCTAGAACTCTCCACGTGCTAGGAAGGCCACAAGTCAAGTGTTCCCAAGGACGACAGGTTCCCACGCGGGTAGTGTGCTGGTGCCGAGTCTCTGTGATCAGAGCAGTCCCTGCCCGGTGCCTCTCCCTCCTAGGGGCTGCGCGAGCCTCTCTGAGCCTCCATTTCCCCAACCCGGAAGGGGAGGATGACGACCACAATCGCAACGAAACCTAACCCAGTGGCCGTGGTGGCAGAAGCCACCTGTAGCTCACAGAAAGCCACGGCCCACAGGAAGGAAAGGAGAGGTTCTCAGGTAGGAAAGGAGAGCCCTGAATCCCACCCCCTCACAGATCCATGTGCCTCGGCGCCCCGCCAGCTGCCAGGACCCAGAGACACTCACACAACACGCCAAACGGGTCCCACAAACAGCTCGAAAACTGTGAAAGCTGCATTTAAGAACCTGCTAGAGAGCTGTGGGCATGCAGTGGCAGGGGGGCAAGGGACTGTCCTCGGTGTCCAGGTGTGTGAGCTGGGGCGGGGAGGGCACAAGGCAAGGGACTGTGTGGAGGGTGGGGAAGGGCTGTCCTCGGGTGTCCTGTGGCATGTGCAGAGCTGGGGGGTGCAAAGGGCACAGGCAGTGCTGCAGCTATAAACTGGACACGGGAGGCCCAGGGTCGCAGGGCCCAGGCCCTGCGACCTCACGAAACAGCCACGCCTTGCTTTGCTGCTCTGCGTCTCCTGTGCTTCACAAATGCTGTGAGGTTTTAGAAACCGGAGGTTTGTGGCCACGCTGCTGTCAAGCAAGTCTATTGGCGCCATTTTCCCACAGTTTTGTTCACTGCGCGTCTGTGTCCTGTTTAGTGCTTCTCGTCATGACCATGTTACGGTGACCCTTGATGAGTGATCTCTGCTGTCACATAAACTCGTGCGTGAGGCGGCAGCAGGGTCTGAGAAGACGGACTGGTTCTGGAAGCTCTCCGGGGGTTAAACCACCATCCAACAGCATCACCTGCTACCAAGGAACCATTCGCAACAGGAACGAGCCTGCAGCAAACTTTGCTGACCACTCAGCAGCCATCCACATCGAGGTAAAAAGATTATGATTGGCCAAAAACTCAGATGACAGTTACCATTTTTTGGCAATAATGTCTATTTTTATGTTTGTTTATTTTTGAGAGAGAGAGAGAGAGAGAGAGAGAGAGAGAGACGGTGTGCATGAGTGAGGGAGGTGCAGAGAAAGAGGGGGACAGAGGGTCCATGATGACAGCGGTGAGCCCGATGTGGGGCTTGGAGTCTCGAACTGTGAGTTCATGACCCGAGCTGAAGTCAGACGTTCAACCAACTGAGCCACCCCAATGCCCCAAAAAAGTATTTTTTCATTAAGGTTTTAAAAGACATGGTTTCTCAGACACAAAGGCGCTGCACTGGAACGGACTATAGCGCACAAGGCGGCGGCGCTGGGCAAGCAAAGCATGTGTCTGACTCGCGTCACTGCAGCGTCTGTCTGACTGGGCTCTGGGACCTGAACCAGCAAGACCTCCGAAGCAGACCTGCACTCAGGGCAGGAGGGGCCTGGGGACTGCACAGCCGAGCAGCGAACACGTGGATGGAGTGACGAGGCTCCCCCACTCCAGGCAGCACGCGGGGCTGGGACTTCAGCTCTCTGCAGACAGGGAACCCAGCGGAGCCTGGCTCTGCACGGGGCTGGAGTGTCTGCATTGGAGACCCAGGAGTTTCAAACACACAGCCATTCTCCTGGTCAAGACAACACAAATGTTCTCAGGGGCATGGGGTGCAGTGTGTGTAAACTGCATGATGTGGCAGCCAAGCTGAAAGCTGTTTCAGGAGGAGACTGACTCTCCTAGCCGTGCAGGGCCGAGGGACAAAGATCTGCAGCAGCCGCCACCTTACAAAGCAGGAGCTCCAGCTACGTTCAGTGAAAAGGCGAGAATCGACAGAGACAGTCTTCCATAAACTCGAATCAGACCTGATCCGCTGAGTACTGCTCTGGTGTGGCTGGGCGCTGGGTCGCGGCCCCGCTGGATGAAGGGGCGGCCCTCCCAGCGGAAAGGTCCTCTGGGCTCTTTGGCTCTTCCATATGCCATGACCAGCACACAGCAAAAACTTACCAAACACGTGAAGAGTACAAACAGACATTACACCAACAAAACCAACAACAGCTGCAAACCCACAGATGATACAAATGTTGGACATTAAGACCTTAAGATACCATGATTACGAGCCATAATTAGAAAGAAAAAAAAAAATCAACCAATCAAACTGATCCAGGAATGACAGATTTAACAGATCAGGACATTAAAATACTCCTTAAAACTGCATCCCACGCGTGCAGGCAGGTGGTGGCGTGGGAAACGCACACACGCCAGAGGAAACCGCACCAATGGCGACCACAGCGCCCAGGACAGACGGTTTGCTAGGCGGCGGCGAAAGCAGACCAGTCGTCACCCAGCCAGGACGTACAGGCCGCAAAAAACAGCGTCGCAAACTACCCAAAATGAGACACAGAAAGAAAGCAGACTGAAATGAGACAGAGTGTCATGAGCTGTGGGACTTGAGGCAGCCAAATACGTGGGGGGCCGCAGTCTCCACAGAGGGAACGAGCAAACCCAAACAGCAACAGAACCCCAAACCAAAAAACAAAAAGGTACTTAACAGCTGGCACATGCAGAATTCTAGAAATGGTCCTGGAACACCTCCCCGCCTCCCGCCCGGGGACCGTGAACGGGAGGAGGACACACACCGCGGATCTGTCCCCTCACATGACAAAGGGACTCTGCAGATGTCACGAAGGTTACTAATCAACTGATCGTAAAATCGGGAGATGATCGTGGTCCAGCCGGGCAGGCCGGATCCAAACGCCGAGCGGCGGTCAGAGGGCACACGCCTGCAGGGCTCCGGGGAAAGGCAGCGGGCGGCCCTGCTGGGACTCGCCGCTGCCAGGACCCCGCGCTGTGGAGAACATCGGAGCCCCAAGTAGCCCCGCCGTGGCCTGGTCAGCCCCCACGGGAGAGCATGGCGGGCTCTGCCCGGAACCCTGAGCACCGGGCTGCGGGGTAACACACAAGCACGGTCTCACGGCCGCCACGTCTGCAGCCGTCTGTTACGGGAGCAACATCAAACAAATATGATGGGCAAAAACTGATAGGACTCGCAGACCCGAGCAGCTCACCCGCCCCCAAGCGCAGGACACAAGAGGAGGCCTGCCCAGCACATCACGGCCAAGCTGCTAAAAACCAGCGAGAAGACGAGAACGTGAAGACAGCCAGCAGGAAAGTCACACTGTGGATGGGGGAGCCCAGGAGGGGCACAGCGGTTTCCCGCGAGAAACACCACGTCAGTGGAGCTGACCTGACAACCTAGAATTCTTTCTATGGTGAAAACATCCTTCAACATGGAGACACTGCCCTCAGATGCGGTGAGGCTGCCCCGCGCTGAGAGACGTAACTCAAGGAGCCCCCCAGGCAGCAGGATGGTGCGGACAGGACCCAAGTCCACCGGAATGGGGTCTGAGAAGGAGTCCCAAGCAAAGAAGGAAAACGGGGTCTCCAGCCCCAGAGAGGAGCACCTAACTCCTACACCCTCAACAGGACATTTTTCAATAAAAAAAGCTTTTATAGCTTTCCCAAGAAAAAAGATTTATAAATGGACGATCATTTGTCCAATTGGGAGCTTCAACGCCGGCGCCCTGAGGGCCTGATTACTGGGCACACAGCTCCGCTCCTGGCGGCTGGAGATGTATCCCCTCTTCTTGTCTTTAGAACCTGAACCGGTCCCTGTGCTGCACGGCTCTGATTTGGTGTCAGATAACCCAGCCCCTTGAATGTCACATCTACTTTTGGTTAGGAGCCCAAATAGCTGAATACTAAGCCCTGAAGACGCCGCGGGGCACTGTTATCCCCAAGGTGGATCCCAAACAAGAGCAGAGGACAAACGGCTAACGGGACCTGGAGTCCAACGCGGCTCAGCATCCACACCACTCCACACGATTCCTTCAGCACCGCGGCGTTTTTACCTTATAAAACACGTCAGGCACGTACTGCTCGCTGCTGGACTCCTTGGCATAGCCGAGCTCAGGGGCATCCTTGCACGGCAGCAGACACTCGTCACGGACCAGTGCCATGCACTGATTGGACACCTGGTACCCTTCAAAGTGGACCTGGTTGTCGGGGCCACCTGCAAGAGAGAGCCCTTGGATGAGTGAGAGTCCACAGAGGAGATTCACACCCAGTCCGTATATGTCCCTCTTCACTTCAGACCAACAGAACAAGTCAACTGAAAAAGTCTGTCTTGGGTATGAATTCAAAAACGTCCGACCGCAACTTTCTGAGTGGCTCAGGCGCACGGTCACGGACACAGGGCACGAAGCTGCTGCAGTAGCTCCTCAAGCAGCTCCCACGGATGACATGCTCTCTCCGAATCAGAAAACAGGACAGGTAAACATTCTCCAATCCCGGGGCACCTGGGCAGCTCAACTGGTTCGGTGCCCGACTTCGGCTCAGGGCATGATCTCACTGCTTGGGAGTTCGAGGCCCGCGTCAGGCTCTGTGCTGACAGCTCGGAGCCTGGAGCTGCTTTGGATTCTGTCTCCCTCTCTCTCTGCCCCTCCCTTGTTTGTGTACTTTCTTTGTCTCTGTCTCTCTTTAAAAAGTAAACGTTAAAAAAAAAAATCTTCAATCCTGTCCCAGGCTTGTGGTCCTGAGTGAGAGGAGAGGGACCCAGGTGGAACGAGACAAACGGGGAAGACAACATAGGGTCTGTACTGTGGTCTCTACTTTACAGACGCCTGCACGGCCACCACACTGTCACCTAGTACCATACTCGGGAGGCAAGGACGCTGCCACAGAGCCAGGGCCAGCACACAGGGGACCCAGCACAGGCCGCTGGCTTCACAGTGCCATGTGCGGCCCTGAATGCCTCTCCCCACTCCTCTCTTTTTGTTTTTTAATGTTTATTTTTTGAAGGAGAGAGAGACAGAGCGTGAGTGGACGAGGGGCAGAGAGAGAGGGAGACACAGAATCTGAAGCAGGCTCCAGGCTCCAAGCAGTTAGCACAGAGCCTGATGCAGGGCTTGAACTCATGAGCTGTGAGATCATGACCTGAGCCAAAGTTAGTCGCTTAACTGACCGAGCCTCCCAGGCGCCCCTCCCCATTCCTCTCCGAATCATCACTTCATAAAACCTCCAGTAAGTCTTTAAAAAATTAGAGACAAAGATGTAGAAACTAATTTGACAATAAACTATTTGTAAAAAAAAAAAAAAAAATTAGAGACAAAGACAGTGCAAAGCCACTCAGATGGAACTGTCCAGTGAAGCGGAACCAAGAAGCGAGCTGGCTGAGAGGAGACCCTGGAGAGAAGGCCGGACACCCCGTCAAAGGCAGGCCCTGAGCCTCTGGAAGAGGGAGGACCAGCCCGTGCATATGGCCGACTTCTACCACACACATATGTGCACTTCCATAATCGGGTGACGTTCTGACAACCCTAATGTCCATTATCACTTACAGCTTTGGAAAATTATTAAAAAAAAAAACAAAAAAAACCCCTCGGTATCTCTATTTTAGTTTCTTTGACAGAAACAAAGTAAGTTACTGATCAGGGAACAGAAATGTTTTTCCATGTGGCTTTCAAACATGTACGAAAAACCAGATCTGATGGCCAAACAATCGGAAAGAGTGAAGGACAGGGGCAGAACCAGCCTGGACGGGATGAGCCAGGGTGCGCCAGGCTGTCTGCTCGACTTTGCGTACCAGAGGATGACAGCAGGTGGCCGGCTTTCAAAAGTGGAGTCGAATGGGCTCCAGAGGCCCCCTGGACAACCGAGCCTAGCACCTCTCTGGCCCTGCCACATATCCTCGGGAGAGCTGGCCATGACCACTCACTAGCGTGGAGGCGCCAGGCCTCCACCGTCTGGGGCGCTCACGGTCAGACACCGGTTTAAAAGGAGCAGAGGGGAAGGCAGGGAAGGAGCGTGGTGAGGCCGCCCTCAGGGTGCGCGTCTGGCTATCGGTTTACTTCGTGCGTGGTAAACCCACCCTGACTTTTAGATGGATCATTAAAGTGTGATGGCTCATTAGAGGGGGAAAAAAACCCTGGCCTCTGAGGACCAGCAAAAAACAGAAAACAGAATTTGTAAAATTGAAGCCTATTTAAAACAAAGCAGTATTAGTCCACGTGGACAGTCTCCAAAGGTAAACTCAATGAGAAGCAGTGCAGGCTCTGGGTTTCCACGAGGAGGGGCGAGACGCCGAGCTCTGGGGGCCTCCCCAGGCCTGCAGGAGGCCCGACCCCGGCTGAGCCGTGGGGTGGCCGGACAAGCCCTCTCACTCCCCTCCCCAGTCAACGTGGGAGGAAAGGGCCCCGGGCGGAAGAATGCTGTGCCTGGGACGGGGCCTCGGGAAGGGGCTCTCACAGCCCCGAGGTGGGGGCAGCCAGCCCTCCAGGACACAGAGAAGCCAGCGTTAGAGCAGGGAGCTTCAACCCGGACTCAACGAGGCGTTCTCCCTCCAGGTCCTTCGTGTTCACAGGAGCAAACCCCACAGGTGATCGGTGCTCCCTTACTGCAAACATCTCGAGCTTGCGCTGCTCTTGGTGGGGAGGGGCGCAGGGGAGCTCAGAGCTTCAGCAGCAGCTCGAGGGGCGGCTGCGGGCACGGGGCCTGCACAAGCACGATGAAGCCCGGATGCAGCGGGTAGTCTCTTGGGAGACGGCCCCCCCTAACACACAGGCCTGCTCCCTCCCATCCGCCCAGGGACTGGGGATGGGACTGGGGATGGGGTGCGGTGAGTGGGGCTCTAACAGCTCCACGGGGCAGCGCCACGTCCTGGGTCAGAAACCGCTGATGCAGAGGGACGGCAGACTTTACTGGGAGCTGGAAGCTGTGCGATGCTTCGAACGGCCGCTTCCATCCCTGCTCCCCCAGGAGTGGGAGAGCGCAGGGCGTCTGCGCACGTCACAGCGTCAGAAGAGGGGCTGGCTCAGCACGGAAATGCAGGGACTCTGACCACATTCTTATTACAAATTATCTACCGTTGCACGGTTCCAAGGCCCTTCGGTCAAGTGGCAATTCTGAAGCAAAACACTCCATGGATGATCTATAATTTCCAACCTTCCAACAAGAGGTGTGAATCCACAATTGAAGATAGAGGGAGCCCCCAATTACAAACTATTTATAATTTTACAATGAGCCGCTGCCTCTCACCCGCTGAGCAATTCCCCACGGGGATTTTTTAAGTAATTGATAGGGTTAGGTTACCACGGGAGCCCACGGAAGCCTAAGTCAGCAGTTCCGTGAAGGTACGTGTGGTTATGTGCAGCGGGGTGCGGAGGGTGGGGGGTGCTGCCGGCTGGAGCGGAAGGGGTCAGACGCCTCGTGTGTCTGGAGGAGCCACACACACCAAAGGAACAGTCCACACCCCACGTGACCTTGAACGTCCCCCACGGACTCCTGCAAGCAAAGGGCCCCCGCCCCCATGATCTCAGGAAAATCCGCTGCATTCACACATCACCGCGGAAACAAACACGCACAGGGTTAATCCACGGAGCATTCTCTAGAGACGCGACGCTGAGTCAGCTGAGGGGAGGGGCGCCATCAGCTCCACAGCTTCAGGGACCGTGGCCGAGCATCTCAGGAAACCCCATCAGTGAAGGCGGCCTGGTCCCCCACGGCGGCGGCTCCGGCTCAGTGCCATCCTATCAGGTGTCACTCCCCCGGCACCGACACGCCGGAACACGCTGTTCTGCGCTACGGTCAGGCCACCACTCTGCTTTCTCTTTTAGAACGTGTGTAGGGAGATGTATCATTTGTAAGTTTTGTTCTCTGGACGGTAGTATCTCAAACTATTCTGAAAAAGGAGGTGTCTGACAGGTTTGAGGACGACCCGTGGACCCGGAACATTAGCCTAACGAAGGGGAGGGGTCATGTGATTCGGGGAGCGAAAAGGTAACCCGGTTCTCCCCTTGGCCAAATACAGAGCTGGCCTGGCAAGACTCTGAATGACGTGAAAGGTGCCCAGCCCTGCGCCCTTCCTCGGCGCCCAGTCTCAGCTGCTCTCCTCCTGCTTGGCACTCACCGTGACGGCCTGCGGCCGAGCCGCCCTCACGGAGGGACCCTACGCTAGGCAACCGCTTTCCTGTAACCCCAGTCAACACTCTCATCCACTCCCCTAAGTACCTGGCCCAACAACAGGTTAGAAAAATAAATCTAACTCAACTAATTCACACTAGCATGTGAAAGACGCTACCACTGCCTCTCACTCATCAAAAGTACATTCATTTCAAAAAGCTGACTACCGATCCCAATGGATCTTAAAAACTCAGGCAGTGTTTTCCTTCATGGTTCCCATGACAGCGTAACAGCATATACACGGGGGCACCTGAGGGTGCTCTCTTCCTCCAGAACTAGGGCGAGGATGGCCGCCATGAACAAACTGGATTCTCTGAGAGCAGAAACTGGGTCTCCATGGGGTCTGGCTTAGACTGGGTCAAACTGACCAAACAGATTACGGCTTCAGGACTTGGTTCTCCAAACTCAAAGTTCCTACTCGTTTTAAACCACACAGGCCTACGGCTGGCTCTTCCTGTGGCAGTATGCGTCAAGCCTGTTACAGGAGACGTGGTGGGCTTTTGTACAGGCCCTGATTTTGTTATTATTTTCTACTTACGACATACCCGACATGGAACAGGATACACATAACAAACATCTCACACACACAAGCACACACACACACACACACACGGAAACGGCATCTAAAATGACTCCTAATTCACGATATCAAAAATAAATAACAGTTAATTTTTTCTCCTGCATGGCCAGAGTCACTCTTGGTTACTGGAAGGGGCAAAGGCAGCCCCGAGCTGAGACCCAGAACCAAGTGAACTTGGACTTGGAATGAGAGTGGATGAGGGAAGAACTACATGGAGGCCCTGGTTCCAGTGGTTTTGCAGGTGATGCAGGTAAGTTCTGGACTTCTACCACAAAATAAAAAGAGGAATCCACATCTCACAGGCACGGTAAGAAAGTCAACTGTAACTAAGCTAGGACGAAAAGCTTCCAAAAGAAGAACAAAACACACCTGTAGCCACTGCAGTAACGAACTTGGATCCAAAATGTCCATCGGGAGAGAGGCGACATATGTTGGGATGTTTATTCTGGAAGTCTCCAGCCGTGATACATTCTTCCGAACTCAGGAAATAGGTGTCCTAAGAAAAACGGCATATCGAGTCTTACAACATCTATTTCTTCTTTAGAAAACACTAAGAACTAAACTACACCCTGTCGAACGCTACACGAAGTCAACACCTATAGTTGTTAGCTCTCCTGAGCACCTCTTTCCCACCGCAAACAACTACGAAGGCCAGAAGCAACAGGCATCTGCCCCTGCGGGCTAACCTCCGGAAGGTACTGGTGGGTAAAGGCCAGGCAGTTTTGCTCTAAAAGACACAACGCAACAGACCCATCTTTAATTTATCAAAAACACGGTGTGGAAAATCATTTGGCCTAGAAGCCAGGACGAGCCGTGCAGGGCCACCCTACAGGCGGGAGCCAGAGCTGGCACGTACCCTACGGGCCGAGCTACACGGGCGCTCCCATCCCATCTCACCTTATTCCGACTGTATCGCACTGTACCCTTCCGGGTGTCTTCTGAGACGAGGTCTGTAAATATCCAGCCAACCTGCAGGAAAGAGGAACGTATCTCCTGAGTCTCTCCCTGAAGCAGATGATGAATGTTTTCCGGCCCCTGCCCCGAGAGCTTAAGAACAACGTTCTCAGTAAAAGACTCTCACGAGCCTGTTCCTCAACTAAGCTTCAAACTCCACTCAGTTGAAAATGGCCACACTCCCCGGTGGTACTGCTGGGCCGGGGAGGGCGGTGCGCGGACAGTGCTCCCCTGTTTGTCAGAAGCCCCGTGGCACCAACTCTGCCAGGCGCACGGTGCTGGATGGGGGGGGGGGCGCTGGGTGGGGAAACAAGATGAACAGAACGCCTACGCTCCAAAGAGGACGACGCGCCGTGAGCCAGCAACTGGAGACAATGCTGTTGGGAGGCGACGGCTTTCTCCGGAGGACGAGAGAACGGACTCCACAGAGAAGGCACTTAGAACAAGGAGCGCCATGACAGAGGCCTTGCCCAGCTGCGCCTTTGCGCTCCGCTGCAGGGCTGAGGAAAGCAGCCAGGGCACAAGGAGCCGAGAGCCCTGGCACGAGGCACCCACACGCCGGCCCCGGGCGGGCGCCTGTCTGTGTGCTCTGCGGTCCTCTCGTGCCCATGAACCTCACAGCCGGCTGCCCTTCCTGAACCAGAGCAGGGCTGGGAGGGTTACGAGCGGGGCTGGAAACCACGTACACGTGCTCTGGAGAAGTGATGAGGTGCCCATACCCTCCCCGGCACAACCCTGACACAGAACTCTTCAAACCCAGCCCCTGCATACAAGACCAGGCAAATGTGGAGAATTTCATTTTCTCCAAAAATACTCAAACGAACAGGGCGCCTGGTGGCTCAGTTGTTTGAGCGTCCAACTTCAGCTCAGGTCATGATCTCACAGTTCATGAGTTCGAGCCCCACGTCAGACTCTGTGCTGGAGCCTGGAGCTGCTTCGGGTTCTGTGTCTCCCTTCCTTTCTGCCCCTCCCCCACTCACGCTCTTTCTCAAAAATGAATAAACATTTGGGGGACCTGAGCAGCTAAGTCACTTAAGTGTCTGACTTTGGGTCAGGTCATGATTTCATGCTTTGTGAGTTCGAGCCCCACGTCGGGCTCTGTGCTGACAGCTCGGAGCCTGGAGCTGCTTCCGATTCTGTGTCTCCCTCTCTGCTCCTCCCTCGCTCTCTCTCTCAAAAATGAATAAACATAAATTTTTTTTTAACTTATACCAATTTCTCTTTTGCATGAGAGAAACTTCAGGAATTTAAACCAAAATATGGCCCTAAACCAAGATGCGGACTCCTTGCTAGAAACAATGGGGCGTTGTCTTCTCAAAGCTTCTGTTAAAATGACTTTGCTCCATGACACTCCTAGGTTACAAGCATATTCCCTATTTTTCCCTGTTTATCTTCTGTAGGGAGTTTATTTTTCACTGACCATCAGTTGATAAAGAAATTAAGGGTAGAGGCGCCTGGGTGGCTCAGTCAGCTGAGCGTCCAACTCTTGATTTTGGCTCAGGTCATGATCCCGGGGTCGTGGGATCAAGTCCTGCATCGGGCTCCATGCTGGGCACAGGGGCCTGCTTGGGATTCTCTCTCATCTTATACCTCTTCCCTTCACATATGTGCTCGCTCTCTCTTTTTTGTTTTGTTTTGTTTTCTTTTTGTTTTTTATTTATTTCTAGGAGAGAGAGAGAGAGAGACAGCGTGAGCAGGAGAGGGTCAGAGAGAGAGGGAGACACAGAATCTGAAACAGGCTCCAGGGCCTGAGCTGTCAGCACAGAGCCCGACGCGGGGCTCGAACCCACGAACCGCAAGATCGTGACCTGAGCCGAAGTCGGACGCTTAACCAACTAAGCCACCCAGGCGCCCCTGTGCTCGCTCTCTAAAGTAAAAAAATTTTAAAATAAAAATAAAAGTTTTAAATTAAAAAAAAATTAGAATAAAGGATTGGGGAGCCTGTGTGGCACAGGTGGCTAAGAGGCCGGCTCTTGATTTCAGCTCAGATCAAGATCTCACAGTGTGTGGGATCCAGCTCCGCTTGGGATTCTCTCTCTCTCTCCCTCTTTCTGCTCCTTCCCAGCTTGTGCACTCTCTCACGTACCCTCTCTCTCAAAATCTAAGTAAACTTTGGGGCGCCTGGGTGGCTCAGTGGGTTGGGTATCCAACTTCAGCTCAGGTCATGACACAGTCCATGAGTTTGAGCCCTGCGTCGGGCTCAGGGCTGACAGCTCAGAGCCCGGAGCCTGCTTCAGTTTCTATGTCTCCCTCTCTCTCTGACCCTCCCCTGCTCACACTGTCTCTCTCTCTCTCAGAAATAAATAAAAAACGTTAAGAAAAAAACAAGAAGAGGGGGTCTGGCTCCCACCGTTTCCTTCCCACACTCTCAGCTGTCCTCAGGAAGAGGGGCCGGCAGATTTACCACAAGCCCCAGCATGGGGATCATCTGTTTTCATTTTACTTTAAATCAGAGAAACATTCTCATTTTATTTCAAATTAGAGGATCATCTGGGCGGTGGCGTCCAGGAAACACGCGGGGCCTGCACCTGACCTTGAACAGCCAGGAGCTCAGTACCAGACAGGATCCAGCTGTGCCACCCACCCTGCTGTCCCCAACAGAGAGCCTCGGCCCCCCCATCAAAGGCCGGCAGAATGCCTCCGTACCTTCCTCAGGCCAAGCTTGGCAGCAATTTCATCCACAACCTCAGCTTTCGGGTCTTCCAGAAGCTCCAGGCTGTTCTGTGTGCCAATCTGTTGGGGCAGTAAAGGGAGAAGACCCACGTCAGAGGAGCCCACGGCCACCCCTCTCCAGTTCAGGAGTCCCAAGGGTGCACAGCTCTACCCGCTGCCGACATAAGGAGTTATGGCAGCAACAGCAGCAGGTGGACATCCAGCTAAAACCCAGCCCGGGGGCTTGACCCCTCCCCAGGCTGCACGGCGCTTTCCAATCCAGACTCGGAGAGGACAAGATAGCTTCCATCACGGTCCCTTATCAAGTATGTGGCTGCTCTCAGGGATGAGCAAGGTTCTCTACACATTTTTCTAGGGGGTTCCTTCACTGGGAAAGTCGTTTTCAAAACTCCCTCAAGTAAACAGTTGCCTTCCCAACAGGTTTGGCCAGATTAGGCAAGATTTAAGCTGGAATGTAACAGGTCTCCAGAAAACAGGCGAGGAAACTGTGTGTGCAGTTTTGCACAGATTGTGCTCCGCTTCACAGGCAAGGTACCGAGTGAGTAGTGACAGACACGCACACCCTAAGGAAAGGAAACCGTGACCTGCTGCGTGCTGAGCAGAGCAGCCAGCTCGGGGCCGTAGGCGGGCTTGGACTCTGGCTGGCTCACACACAACCTAAACTGGCCACAGGACCCCGATTTCCTGCAGTGGAAGGAGGCTGCACTGAAATGCAGCTTGAAGGTCATTAATCAGTATCATATCTAGCAGGAACCCCAGCCACAGGGACAGAAGAGGGAAGGTTACCCAAACCAAGTTATACTAATTGGGTACATCCTTGTAAATTAGTCAAATTCTGGCAAAACAACACAAGAACTTTCCGTTGTCGAGTATTAGCATATGGAGATCATCAACACCTGCGGGCACGGGGCACATGACAAACTCAAGACAAATCTAAGTATCTGGTTTCATGACCTGTCACAGCAAGAGCCTCAACTTCTAACGAACTGGATGTTATTGGAGGTCAGTGGTGTCACCTCCAGGATGATGACGCTGTTAGTATGGACGACAGAGGTTTGTTTCCGTTTTTAATCCCATCATATGCCTGAGGCCTGCCGAACTCCTCACAGAAGAGACCTTGTACAAAACCCAATGTGAACATGCCACGCTTCCAAAAAGCCTCCTCATTACAGGACACTTAGCCCTCGCTGTTAAGCAACCCCCGTAATTGGGGCTCTTGGGCAGGGCCTCTGTCGCCACCTAGCGACCCCCGTTCAAGGAGCAGCCCAGAGGCTCACTCAAACGCTTCCTCTGCAGCTCTCAGTAAATACGGAAATGAACAAAGGGGTGCAGACTACACTCAGGACTTGCGTTAAGTACAGCCAGGGAGACAACGGCACTTGTGCAAGACCCATGCACCTGCACACGTCCGTGGCGACGGGGCCTGCACTTTCAGACCTTTAAGAAGTCGGTGGGTCTCGGGCTCTGTGCTGACAGCTCAGAGCCTGGATGGAGCCTGCTTGAGATTGTGTCTCCTCTCTCTCTCTGCCCCTTCCCTGCTCACACTCCGTCTCGCTCTGCCTCAAAAATAAATAAACGTTAAAAAAAAAAGAAAAGTCGGTGGGTCATGGACTGATGAACAGAACACAGTGCAAGGTGACAAAGGTGAGTGTGCTGGGCATACACCCAAAGCAGGAGAACAGCATGAATATCTGTATGTTTGCTTATATTTTAAAAACTCAAATTTTAGAAGTCTCAACCAAATATTTTGGAAAGAAAGGGACAGGATGAAGGGGGTGCCTTGTTTGTAGATCTTTGGAAATGTGCACTTTTTTCTTTTCCAACATTTTTTTTTTTTAAAGGCAAGACTGTATTTTATTTTATTATTATTATTTTTTAAATGTTTTATTTATTTCTAGGAGAGAGAGAGAGAGAGAGACAGCGTGAGCAGGGGAGGGTCAGAGAGAGAGGGAGTCACAGACTGAAACAGGCTCCAGGCTCTGAGCTGGCAGGCAGCACAGAGCCCGACGCGGGGCCCGAACCCATGAACCGTGAGATCATGACCTAAGCGAAAGTCGGACGCTTAACCGACTAAGCCACCCAGGCGCCCCTCTTTTCCAACATTTTAATCAAAAACTTCAAACATAGGGGCCTGTGGGTGGCTCAGCTGGTCTAGTGTCTGACTCTTGATTTTGGCTCAGGTGGTGATCTCATGGTTGGGATCGAGCCGTGCTGTCAGGCTCCAAATGGAGTGTGAAGCCTGCTTGGGATTCTCTCTCTCCCTCTCTGCCCCTCCCCTGCCCATATTTCGCTCATTCTCTCTCAGAATAAATAAATAAACACTTAAAGAATTTTTCAAACATACAGCAGAGTTTAAAGAATTTCACAGTGAGGACTCATATAGCCACTATTTAGACCCAGCCACTAACACTTACTATTCTGGCCACCCCTCAAGCCATGCTAGTTTCTTGTTGTATTTCACAGGGAACTAAAGACACAAGCACACCCTCCCCAAGTCTTCTAGCATGTGTATCACACACTTGGGTTCCATGTTTACAGTTTTCACCTTTTGAATAATTATTTATGATGAAATACACTATATAAGTACTTCATACTATGTATTTTTTTTTAACGTTTTTATTTATTTCTGAGAGAGAGAGAGACCACGTGAGCAGGGCAGGGTCAGAGAGAGAGGGAGAGACAGAACTGGAAGCAAGTGCAAGGTGCCTGGGTGGCTCAGTCGGTTGGGCGGCCGACTTCGGCTCAGGTCACGATCTCACGGTTTGTGAGTTCAAGCCCGGCGTCGGGCTCTGTGCTGACAGCTCAGAGCCTGGAGCCTGCTTCCGATTCTGTGTCTCCCTCTCTTTCTGACCCTCCCCTGCTCACGCTGTCTCTCTCTCTCAAAAATAAATAAAAACGTTAAAAAAAACTGATGTACATAAAACTGATCCCTAAATACTGCAAATAAAACAAATGAACATAAATAAAACAAATGTTAACTAATTGATGACATAGTCCTTAAAAGAGGACTTTCCAAGTGACTTCAAAACAGTATTTGATTGCTGGTCCCTCGTGAGACACACCCTAAGGACCCTCCTCCTTCCACCAAAACCAGTTTCCAGTCCTACACGGGTGGTAATTGTGGTGCTGTCATTCTAAGACAGCTGTGTGTGTGACGCAGGGTAAAGCCCCTCTGGCTCCATCATTTCTGAGCCAGCTGCCCACAGGCATAGGGGAAGGAGCTACAGAATGAGAAGGGGGAGGGCAGCCGTGTGGCACTTGGGGACAACCGACAGAAGTGGAACACAGGGCACAGATGACAACATGGCACCAATGCTCAACTCACTGAAGCTGACAGACGTACCTGTTACCAGGTAAGAAGACATCCTTATGCGTTGGAAAGGCACACTGGAATGTTTAGGGGCCATGAGCTTAGCCTCCAAGAATTTGGAAAACAAATACGGTGTGTCTGTGTGTGTGTGTCTGTGTAGACAGAGACGGAGATGGAATGGGAAATGATAAAGCAAAAGGAATGAAATGAAGTCCGAACTGAGAGCCCCGCCCAGCCTTCAGAGCAGAGCCCCAAAGAGGCCCACGGACCCCGTGCCTGCCTACCTGAGGAGGCTCATAAATTGCAGCCACTTCGGCCCTGATGCCAAGAGGAATGTCTTTGTGCTCTGTGTACCGTCCATACAAATACCCGAAGTGCTGGTTCCCTGTCTTCCTCCAGAAGTCAAGGAAGCGATCAGCAACCGTGTGATTCTCAAACATGATATTGTCCACGTGTCTGTATTTCTGTAGAGCAAACAATAGACTAATGAAAACACTCGCTCAGTAATAAATATGTTCCTAGTCTAAACCATTCAAAAATTTCCTTCGCCTAGCTCTTCACGCACATTTTAAGAATGCGCTCTGTGGGGGTGCCCAGGTGGCTCAGTCATGGCTCAGTCAGTTAAGCGTCCGACTTCAGCTCAGGTCACGATCTCACGGTTCGTGGGTTCGACTCCCGCGTCGGCCTCTGTGCTGACAGCTCAGAGCCTGGAGCCTGCTACGGATTCTGTGTCTTTCTCTCTGCCCCTCCCCTGCTCACGCTGTCTCTCTCTCTTTCTCAGAAATAAGTATTATTTTTTAATGTTTATATATTTTTGAGACAGAGAAAGAATATGAATAGGGGAGGGGCTGAGAGAAAGACACAGAATCCGTAGGAGGCTCCAGGCTCTGAGCTGTCAGCACAGAGCCTGACACGGGAGTCGAACCCACGAACCGTGAGATCATGACCTGAGCCGAAGTCGGACGCCCAACCGACTGAGCCACCCAGGTGCCCCTCAGAAATACTAAAAAAAAAAAAAAAAAAAAGACTGTGCTCTGCCCTTGAGATTCTAGAGGGTAGGTGGGTAGAGATGGGATTCCCCAGTAAATTAATTCAAATTAATCTTACTGGGATTTCACCTAAAAGGCATGTTTTCACAATCTCTGGCACAAAAATTAGTTTTCAAAAAAGAGAAGGAGTGGGGGGCAAGGGAAGGGAAGAGAAGAGAAGAAAGAGGAGAAAGAAAGCCGTTCCAAGGCAGTCACAAAGGCCGTGGAGAACCTTCTGAGGAAACGTGGGCCAGCAGTGCAGGGAAGGCCAGGTGAGCATGGAGACCAGAAGGGAAGAGGCCGGGCTACTGCATGCAGCTTTCCCTGGTCTCCTCCTCCTTCCAGAGTCCAGCTCCCTTCTTCACCTGGCCTGGGCAGATGCTCCCAGGGGGCTCCAGGACAGTTTGGTTACCAGCTCCCAGAAGGCAAAGTTGCAACCATGGAGCATTTTAAACAGTTACCAAGAAAATTCTATTTCCACACAAGCCAACAAAAGAGAAAACTAAAGATGCTCCCAACCCCCACCCCCCACCCCCGCCTAAAACAGCTAGAGATCTCACAAATAACACTTCCAGTGTATGACTTGAAAGTGCACTTGAACTTGCACCCTGCCAGTGGCAGCTCCCTCCAAGGATGGCCCCTTCTGGAAATGTTCATTTCTGAGCCGTGAAAATAAACCTACTGCTTTCTGCTCTCTGGACGGACACAGCAAACAGCTCACCTGTCTGTTCAGCGTGATGGCACTTGGCTGGCACTTGGTACAGATGCCGTTAGGCCATGGAAGGTGTCCCTCGCATCCTGATTTAATTTTGCAGCTGATGTTCTCCAGAGCAACAAATTTCCCCCTGAGCAAGAAGAGGCAACTTAATTAAACATTCCAAGAGTGAAAAGTTTAGCAAAAAACTGGAAATCACATGACAAATATCCTACACCTCCTGACGAGCGTTCTAAAGAGTGAAGCGTACGGAGGTGGCAGCCCGGGGAGCGTGCCGAGAACCGGCCCCGCTTCTGTCCTGCACACGCCGGCTCGGAGGACCGCACACCTATCCCCCGAGTCTCCGTTTTCAGCGTCTGTCACTAACACCCATGAAGGTTTTCAAGGACACTGTTAAGTATCTACTGCTCTAACCTGTGCCACTCAGAGGAAACAAAGCTAGTTTTTAAGGTTCGTTAACCCATCAGCAGCATCTATGTCACAAGTTCAGTACTTGGACGATTGTAAAAAAATTCTGAATCACAGGGAAGAACCCGGACGAGGGTACGTAACAAAGGCGTCTTCCCCTGGCTTTCAGCTGGAGTAAAGACTATCTGGTGAGGAAGCCAGTGCCCCATCCAGACGTGGCATGAACGTGCACACGTGCCTTGACCCTTTGCCAGCTTCCCACTGACAAACGGTCCAGGTACTCAATCCTGTCTTCACAGGCCCACAGCACGCTGGCCCGCGGGCCCCTGGGAAGCAGTGACCGCCACCAGTCTGCATGTCAGCGACAGCTACAAATGTTGGCAAGGCTGATGGATTTCAACGCAACAAAATCTCTACTCACTCCCTAGTCCAGGAAGTTCGAGGTTTACCCCACCGACAGGCAAGAGTGGGTTTCTGGTTGGGTTTTTTTTCCTCCTGGTCTAACTTTTGTAAAAACTCCTTTTAGGATGTCAGCAGGTTGTCAGAGAAAAACTACAATCAGGCCACAGGACATTCTTCACAAAATGTTGCTGACTTGGCTTCAGCCACCCTCTCCTCCTGCTGCACTGATGGAAATGAGAAAATCATGGTAGGAAGTCCATTACTTTCTGGGAAGGTGAACATATACTTAACGGAAAGGGGTCACACAGGCAAGTACCTGACATGGCTTACAAGACACCAAAATGCTCTCAGTCAGCCGCTCCCAGCCACTGTCCCAGCCTGCACTCGGAGCTGAGCCTGCACCCAGGGAGCCGAGTCTGTGGCCGGCACCTGCTGAGGCACCGTTGCGCCAGCCCCGACGACAGCCGGGAAATCAAGCTGCTAAGAGGTAGGCTCCAGGGCAAAGGGCCGATGGGGGCTGTGGAACAAGCGAGCCCAGATAACCACGGGGTGGTTCTGGTTTTCCGAAAAGCAGAGGATGAGCCCACTCTCCACAACCAACCCCCATCACGTCGCCTTATCTCCTGCACCTTCACGCACAACTAAGCTGCCGGGGCGCCACGTGTCTGGGGGAAGCGGGACAGACCCTGGGGGCCTCCAGTGACCACTGCTAGCTTGGCATCTGCTGCCACTCCGGGCCTGGATCGTGACAGGACATCAGAGGCTCCACCCACCTGTTTCTTTTCTAGAATCAGCGCAAAAGCCACAAATTCAAATGTTCTGTGCCCAGACCTCGATCCTTACTTTTCTCATGCATTTACTCATGGGCTTTAAGTAAAACCTGCCAGACACGCAAAAGGAGCTTCCACACGCCGGACCCCCGCCGGAGTCCCACCAGCACAGCCTAACTGTGCTCAGGCTGCTTACTTGTCGGCCCCCCCGGTCAGCTTTCGGATGTAGGCGTGGAAGGACATGTGCTTCACAGGAGGTTCGAGGTGGTTCAGGTAGTCCTCGTCGAACGGCTGCCAAAACACACACAGTCAGTTTGGTCCCGCACTTGTGGGCGTGAGAGGCAGGCAGCCATGCGCCTGCCGCGCTCAGGGGTCAAGCCAGGCCCCGTAAAGGGCAGCAGGATAGAACAGGGGCTTGCTTCTCACCTATCGATCTAGGTCAGAACCAAAGGTTTCCTTGTGTACCAACTATCTTCCCAAGATTAAAGTAAGTATCTAGTAAATACAAAATGCTCTAGGTCAAGTAACTATTAGGAAAGGTATTTTTTTTGGGGGGGGGGGAGAAGTCACAAGATGAAGAGGAGGCTCACGAAGAAAATCAGTTGGCCTTGCTGCTGTAAATTCAGCAGTAACCAGCTACCAGTCAGCATTATTACGGTAACTCTCAATCTCACCAAGACAAATCAGGAGGAAGGCAGGCGACTCAGGGAGAAGTAAATCAAAACAAAGATGAGCACAGAAAACGCCAGCCCCAGCTATGCGTCAGGTTTTAGAAGGATTGTCCGGGGAGGCCCCTGAACATCACCCCTTCATCACAGCAAAACAAACGCATCAGCCATTCATAACCCACCCAGAAGGTCACTGCCATAAATACAGGCCGGCCCTCTTCACGCGGCTTGCATCAGCGGGAACGCCAGGCCCAGGGCGAGCACCAAACACCCTCTGGGAAGCGGCCCCTCCCGCCAGCCTGGAACTTACGCCGCGCACTCTCACCTCTAGCGGAACACAGTGCACACATTTCCCCAGGGGGCCGTGTCGGCACCTGAGAGCACAAGGCAACAGAAGCACGGTGATTAGTAGGCTTACTTTACTGTTGCTGCCTCCCAATGTTTTTGATATTTAAAGTGCATGCCAAACCTAAAAGTTTTTCCCCACCTTTGTGGGATTATTTTATTTATTTTTTATTTATTTAAGTAAACGCTGCACCCAACATGGAGCTTGAACTCACGACCCCGAGATCAAGAATCGAACGCTCTGCTTACTGAGCCAGCCAGGCGCCTGCTGTGCAGAATTATTTTAGATGGAATGTGAACATTTTTACTGTAATGTAATAGTTTAATATTTATTTGGATGTGTTATTAGAAAAAATTCACCAGGACATCAAATCTATGGACACTAACTGTTTAAAATGACACCAAATAAAAACTTAAGTGAATGGACTTAAAACCAATTTCAACAGACATTAAGTAAATGCTAACAAAGCTGGGATGTGGACGTGGCAAAACCCTTCTCCGTGGAACACAGGTCACTCCAGTCTGGAAGATACCCACTTTGTGCACGTGTTGGGAACTGCACGGAGGATGCCTGGCTCCATGGGTTTCAACCATCTCAGAGAAGCCTCAGAAGACCCACAAGTGTGGGGTGACAGCACAAGGTGCCCCAGTGAGGAGGGCGGGGATGGGCTGCTGGGAAAGCCAAGTGGCTGTCCCTCTAGGCTCAACCCAGTCCTTTTCTAAGCGGGGTCAGAACTCCTGGACGCATGTGCATTCTACCTCAGAGTAGAGACAGCCTGGCTCTAACGGGCAGGCTCTCACAGAGGGCAGGCCAGGAGGCACACAGCACCCCGTGAGAGATGCCTAATGAAGTCCCGAAGCCACAGATAATGGGGGGCCGGGGTGGGCTCCCAGGGAGGAAATGCAAATGGAAGAGGCACACAGGCTGGCGGCTGTGGCTGTGAAGCAGCCCCACGCTAGCTGCAGCCAAGCACCCTCTGGGGCTCTTTAATCTAAGTCCTGTGAGTTGCTAAGGCAGCACTTAGAATCCCAGTGTGGCTTACGGAGCGGTGTGGTACCAAAGGCTCTAGTGCAGGAACATCAGCCTTCCCCCAGACGTCACATCATGGAGGGTCAGCTCCCATGTCTCTAACTGGTTTCTTTAAAAGAACTGCAAAAAACTAAAACTACACAAATGCACCCAAGCATAGCCGTCCTGTGTCACCCCGGGTGGAAGGGAAGCGTGTGGACGAGGAGCAGCATCTCCAGCAGACGGACATGCGCCGAAAAGAATGGGAAGAACGTACTGTGTGGATGTGCTGTTGAAATGTCCCTACTGTAAGTCAACGAGGGGACCTGACCAGACCTAACACTGCCAGGTGCCCAGGCGTCATCCCCCCTTCTGCACGCTGGCCCCACTGTGCCCACAGCATGGCGGGCAAGGGTCTCGGGAGTGCGTCTTGGGAAAGGCTCGGTGCCAGTTCCCTCCCTTCTTCCAGATCTCTTAGTTCCAAACACCTGAAAACTTTTAAAGCACGTGTGACAACACACCTGGAGACTCACACAGTAGGAAAAAGCTTCGAAGATAACCTGGAGTGAAATGTCACCTAACCACAGAGGGTTGAACCCGGAACGTGCATTACTTCGTAGGCCGCTCTCTAACGCGGCCCGTCCAAGCCCTGCCCCCCGCGGCGCCAGCACACTTACAGCTGGGGGTCGCGGCTTCGGTAGATCTTCCCATCCTGCCTGCTGAGGTACTGGTCGATCTCATCTTCTACCACGTTGGGAGCACCGCAGGCCTTCAACCCCAGCGGGGCCGACGTCTCCATTTCTGACGAGGGCCCCGCGAGGCCCGAAGGGAAGAGGAACAGCAGATCTCCATGCCTGTCGGGGGAAGAGCGGTCACATGTGAGGCCCTCTGGCATTCAGCCTCCCTGAGAGCCCAAACGGTGAGTCTTCTAATTCTAGGAGCCCACGTCTGGGTGGCTCAGTCGGTTAAGCGTCCGACTTCAGCTCAGGTCATGATCTCACAGTTCATGGGTTTGAGCCCCACGATGGGCCCTGTGCTGACAGCTCAGAGCCTGGAGCCTGTTTCAGATTCTGTGTCTCCCTCTCTCTCTGCCCCTCCCCTGCTCACACTCTTTCTCTCTCTCAAAAATAAAAAAAACAATAAAAAAATAATAATAATTCTAGGAGCCCAGAGCTCTCCCCATGCAGCGCGTCCACAGTCCCTACCACTCTCAAGGTCAGAGCAGGTGCTCTGTAAGCGTGACTTCTCTCGCAGTCAAGACACGTATACTCGCCCTATGGGTGGCCTTCTCCCCTGCTCACGCTGGGCTTGGCTCCCACTTTTTTTTTGTTCATTCCTTACCGTCTACTATTCAGCACCCCTCCATCCTGTCCACCTAGTACACAGCCTTCCATTTCCTTCTCTGTGTGCACCCTCATCCCCCCACACATGTGCACAGACACGTATGTCACTGCCTAATAAAAACGAGGTTACCAAAGATGTACATTTTGCATCTGCTTTTCTCAACACCTCACCTGAGATCCCTCCAGACATGGTCTGTGTCTGATCACCGCTTCGAAGGACTGCACTCCCCAGGGAGCCCGCCTCCCAGCTTACCCTGTCACTCCCACGCTGACAGCATCCACACTGACAGCTGTGTGCCATCATGGACACCACTTGAGGAAGTAACCAAAGGCAGGCAGCTGTGTGGCTTTACTTCCACAGGGCACATTTGCAAGCATGGCCCCACGAGGAGGGTTTCCGTTGGTTTCTAAAGCCACTGAAGCTACCACTCTCCAAAGAGGCTGCACAATTCACATTTCAAACAGCAGAGTTTGACTGTCTTATCATTTCCCAAGTAAGTTACGCTCTCTTATCTTTACCCACTCACACGGCTGACTCACTGCGGGACCTGGGTAGCACAGCCGAGCCCCCAGGCCTGAGGCACAGGACATCCCCACTCACACGCAGCGTCCAGACACGGCACTACATGTGGTAAACCCCGAGCTCCCGAAGACGGAAGGGACAGCCTGCCACACCGCTGACCCCACAGACCGAGCGAGGGCGAGCAGGCCTCAAGCACAGGCACCAGGGACACGGGCCACTAAGAGGCTTGGCTACAGCCCTGTGGCAGGTCACTTCTCCCCTCTGCCCCCTCCCTGACCCAGGGGCGATACACCTGCCAAACTCCAACTAGAAGCCTCTGTTTCTAGCAAGGGGCCGGACATCCCTCAACACCCCCAGCTGCGGAATTCTCGGTTCAGCCGCCGCTTCGGCTCTGAAAGACCTGCTCCAACACGCGCCGCGGAGCTCTGGACACAGTACAGGCTCCCCCAGGGGCTCAACAGCCCACAATAACTGAAACCAGAACAGGGAGAGAACGCTGCACGACAGGCTTGGCTTACACCGTCACTCTCTGGGCAACAGGAGGCGCGGCCTTGAGCCTGCCTGCCCGGAGCGGGCTGCCCGGCCTGAAAGGCCACATAAGGCCAGGCGTCTCCACAGCTGGGAGAAATCACTGGCTGAAAGCAGAAACCAAGGAGGAATCCTGTCCTCCTCCACCCGCTATGCTGTGGTCACTCTGAGAGTCTGAAACCAAAGGCCTGCTTGCCGCACGCACCCGGGGTTCGGGGAGGGGACCAGGGCTGCCACCTGGCTCAGGAAGCCCCAAGGCAGAAATGAACTCAAAGGTCCGCCGGGTGCACGGGCCCCCTTGCGCCAAAAGAAGCAAGCGCAGGCCTCCTCCCCTACAGCCCTCCAGGGCGCCCCAAGACCAAGTTTGGTCAATTACAAGCTCTCAAAAAAGGGTCACTAAATGGAGGAGAGAACCCAGCCACCACGCGCACCAGTGGGCAGAGATGACAATACCAGAATTAGAGGACTGAGGACTTCAGATCTGGAATTACACGACTTGGAATGCAAACTGCCACAGAACGTTCAACAGAAAGGAGATGGAAAAAGCACGAGCAGCAAGAACGCTCCAATGACAAGGGCGTCAGGAAAGCAGGGTGGCAGGGGCCGCAGGTCTGATATATGCTCCCGAATCCCCCTCATACACACAGGCCAGACAAGCGCGGACAGCTCCAGCAACAGCGCACCCCATTCCACACGGGGGAGACAGACGACAGACACCCCATGACTCAAGAGGATCCCCCGGGGAGCCCGACGCTCCTCACCGGAAGCCTGGAGGCTGGTGTGAGAGCAGCAGGGCTCCCATGAGCGCATGTTGCTAACAGCTGCGTCTGAAAAGAAATCAAATCAAGTATTTTAAAAATGAAAAATGTGGGGCGCCTGGGTGGCTTAGTCGGTTAAGCGTCCGACTTTCGCTTAGGTCATGATCTCACGGATCGTGGGTTCGAGCCCCGCGTCAGGCTCTGTGCTGACTGCCAGCTCAGAGCCTGGAGCCTGTATCAGTCTGTGACTCCCTCTCTCTCTGACCCTCCCCTGCTCACGCTGTCTCTCTCTCTCCTAGAAATAAATAAAACGTTAAAAAAAAAAAAAAAATGAAAAATGTGAGGCGCCTGGGTGCCTCAGTCGGTTGAGCGTCCGACTTCGGCTCAGGTCATGATCTCACGGTTCGTGGGTACGAGCCCCGCGTCGGGCTCTGTGCTGACAACTCAGAGTCTGGAGCCTATTACAGATTCTGTGTCTCCCTCTCTCTCTGACCCCTCCCCCACTCATGCTGTGTTTCTGTCTTGATAATAATATTTTAAAAAATTGTTTTAAAAATGAAAAATGTAATCATTGAAATAAAAATGAGAACTGGGGAGAAGTGACATTTAAAGAGATAATGGCCACAAATTCTGCAGGCCTGATCTGCAGGTACAGGAAACAACATTCATGAGGCAAGATTAAACGAACAAGAATCCATACCCGGACAGGTCAGGCAGAAACCAGGACCCGAGACACAGGTCATAAAAGCAGCCGGAGTGAAAAAAGGATCGGATACAAACAACAGAATCCAGCAAACTAGATCACAACCCCAGAGGCCAGAAGAAGCGGAGAGGCCAAGGTCAAGGAGAGGACTGTCACTCCTGCCCAAAGACCTGCATCAGGTAAGACAGAACGTAAGCCCTCAAGGTCAGACCCAAGCTGGACAATGAGCAGTACAACTATCACTGGAAAGATACACCCAAGGGTGACACGCAAAGACATCCCCTCCGAGTGACCCCTCAGGATGGCCGAGCTGTCCACCCCTGGGGTCCCACCCCTGGGATAGCACAACTATGACGACACTACAGTTTGAGGACTTTCTCTCAAAGGTGTTTCACTCCGTAACCTCCCTTGCTTGTATCCACTCCCAAAATAGTTTTCAATAACACAGGTGTCACCCGCACGTCCGCTGTGGGCAAGCACCGCGTAGCCACGTGAAGGCAGCACTGCTACCCACGTGCAGACCAAGGTGGCGAGGCCCAGGGTGGTTAAGCAACTTGCCCAGATGAATGCAAACCATGGGACGCTTACAAGTGATTCTCGAATGCAAACCATGGAACGCTTACAAGTGATTCTCAAGATGCAAAAGCCCTTTACAAGCTGAGAGGAAGGACGACCTCTCACCCCTGTGGGAAATGCACATCAACAACAATGAAAGGCTTTAGCTAATTACAGAAATAGGCGAGTGGCAGGTACCCAACAAATATTTGCTGAGGAATGAATGAATGAATGCTATAATTGCATATTTTTTCTCTTAGATGAACTAATTCGTGATCCTAAAAATGATCACACAATTGTCAAAATAGCCTATTATTCTAACTGGTAAATAGACACAGGGCTGACTGCCAGCAAAGCCAGCTCGATCACCACAGCAGCCACACGCCTGCAGCCCCGACAGGAGAGCTCCACGCTCACCACTGAGGATGGAAATCGCTGACACATGAGCAGGTATGCCCCGACAGTTCAGACAGGAGTCAGCAAACTTCCTCTGCAAAGAGCCAAACAGTAAATATTCTTGGCTTCATGGGCCATGCCGTCTGTCACAATCACTCAGCTATACCCTTACAGCACATCATGGATGTGGCTGAGCTCCAATTAAACTACAACAACAGGCAGCGGCCGCAATAAGAGTCTTACATCCTGGAAACCCTCCTGACATGACAGCAGCACTAAGGAGCTCGAGGGGGTCATGCCACCAAGAAATACAGCGTGGGCGACGGCCCCTCCTACCTGCCAAGTAGCCCTGAGGCGGAGCTCCACATGGCTACATTCAAGGTCCTTCTCTGCAAAGAAGGAGCTGAGTGTGCAGGTGCGTGCACACCCCAAACCCATAACTCTCTCTCCTCAGTGACACACAGCTCAGAATCTGCAAGTCAATCAGCTCAGCACAAGAGGAAGAGCAGATTCAGTGCGACTGCCGAAATCCCGGCAAGAAACACACTCACCTATGCGCTGGCCAGTGCACGGTGGCATTAGAAGGAATGGGCAATCGGTGGGCCACTGGGGTCACTCCCTCCCCTCCCTGTCACCCCCCCAAGGCGCTTACTTGATTTTGAGCAGACTCAGGGATTTGGTAGATGATGCAGTTATCTCTCCAGTCTTGTTTCTATTGATGTAAACGGAGAAGCCATTATTTTGGAAGCCAAACTCCTTTGCGACCTAAAACAAGCAGAAAACAACAGAGGTTCAAAAAAACGTTGAGTGTCACTACTCGGGCCATATATATATCAGAAGACGTTACGATAACACTAAAATTTTTTTTTTAACTTTTGTAATGTTTTATTTATTTCTGAGAGAGGGAGAGAGAGAGACAGCATGAGCAGGGGAGGGTCAGAGAGAGAGGGAGACACAGAATCGGAAGCAGGCTCCAGGCTCTGAGCTGTCAGCACAGAGCCCGACGCGGGGCTCGAACCCACAAACCGTGAGATCATGACCTGAGCCGAAGTCGGACGCCCAACTGACTGAGCCAACCAGGTGCCCCAACACTCACTAAATGTAGAAACTGTTCCTTGTGAACCAAACTTCTTTTGTTATTTTGCTCTCCTGGGAGGAAATTTGTACTGCCCTCGCAGATGTCAAGTAAAATGAGAAAAGTGGCCAAGCAAAAGCAAAGCTTTGTGTAAATGATAAGACTGGATGACACGTGTAAGAGTTTGATGCAAGCAAAAGTCATGGCCATGTCTGAAAAGTTTATTTCTGCTTTTGAAATCAATTCCAACATTGAAGCCTCACAGAAGAAAGCCGGAAGTGAAGAACGATGCTCCTGTGTCTGTAATGATAGCGAGTGTCTATGATGCTGGGCACTAGGTGGGTACCAAGAATACTCACTCGCTCACTCACCAGTCCTATGCGCCGGCTCCACCCTGGGCACTCAGAACACAACAGTGAAAAACAAAGACAAGGTTCCTGGCATCAAGGACCTCAGCATCAAATGCGGGAGAGAAAGTTAACAGATGAGAAGGAAGCACAGGTCGAGGTCAGCACCATGGCAGGAAAGGAAGAGAGGGAAGCACGGGAGAGGCCACTCTAGTCGGGAGGACAGACAGGCCTCTGTGAGGAGCACATGTGAGCAGAGGCCCGGAGGAGGAGTCGAAGACTGCTGCTCAGAGCCGGGAAAGAAGAGTGCAGCCAGCAGGAGCAGCACAGAGGCCGGCAGGCAGGGAGGGGATGGGAGAGAGAGGCCAGTGAGGCCAGAGCCCAGCAGGCAGGAAGGAAACGGTCACGGCGAGAACAGGAAGGGAGACAAGAGCCAGCACACAGGGCCACAGGGGCTCAGGGCAGGGGCTGCCAAGGCACTGACAGTCTGAAAGTGGGAAGAGGAAGGAGAGCCCAGAGACGGGCTCAGACACGGCCAGGACTTGGGGACGGAGAGTGGGGCACCTTCCAGCTCTCATCATCGACGGCCCTTGCTAATGGCTGGGATGAGGGACGGAACAGAGTGAAGGACAGGAAGGACACAGGCGGGTTTTCAGGCTTCTGGCTCGGAAGCAGGGGGAAAGCCACACCTATAAGGAAGCAAGGAAGAGGGCCGAGGAGGAGGAAGACTAAAGGGAAAGCCAGGTCTTCCCTCCACCACCCAGGCGCCCTGGGGAAGGCATCGGCAGGCAGTCGGCACTGGAGACCCGGCCAGGAGAGGAGTCCGAGCTGTGGCTCGACACTCCGGGGCCCGCAGGGTAGAGGCTGGAATGACCAAGAGTCTCAGCAGAGAAACAAACGATAAAATATAATCAAATGGAAATTCTACAACAGAAAAACCCAATAACTGAAATGGAAAATACCGGCTGGGCTTGTCAGCCAAAGGGAGATGCAGGAAGAGGAGTCAATTTACTGGACGACGGATTACTAGAGCCTCCACGACCTCAAGACAGAGATTTGTCAGAAAAACGAACAGAACCTTCAAGAACTCCTAGGACAACATCTAATTAATGATCCTACGGAAAGAAAATTGGGCTAGAACTGAAAAGTATTTGAAGAGCAAATGGCTGAAAACCTCAAATTTGGCAACAAACCGAGTAACAAATCCAGAAAGTTCAGCAAATCCCAAGTGGGATCCATGAAAAAACCACCCCTAGGTGCATGCATCATGCTCAAACCGCTGACAGCAGGAGATCAATGGAGACCAGAAGACAATGGAAGGATGCCTTCAAAGTGCTGAGTGGGAACAAAAATCTGTCAACTCAGACTTCTGCATCTGGCAAAAATACCCTTCAAATACAAAGGCAAACTAAAAAGGTTTTCAGGCCAAAAGCTAAGAGAGCATGTCACCAGCAAGTCTCCATGACAGGAAGTGCCAGGAGGTATTCTCCAGGCTGAAGAACAGGACACCAGATGCAGGTCATACCAGAAAAAACACTGGCAGAACACGTAAGGCAAAAAGTACGACAAGAGCTCTCAACGACACAACAGGAAGCCATCACATTAAATGTTTCACAATCGGTTTTAAATTTTTTTAATTTATTTAGCGAGAGAGAGAATAGAATCCCAACCAGCCTTCACCATGTCAGTGCACAGAGCCCGATGTGGGGTTCGAACTCACAAACCATGAGATCATGACCTGAGCTAAAGTCAGACCCTTAACCGACTGAGCCACCCAGGCCCCTCTCTACTCATTTTAAAGAAACGGACTGCAAGTAACTCCACATTGTCATTCTGAAATTCTCAAAGCCTAAGAAATGGTCTTCAGACATGGGGCGCCTGGGTGGCTCAGTCGGTTAGGTGTCCAACTTTGGCTCAGGTCATGATCTCACGGTTCGTGGGCTGGAGCCCCACATCAGGCTCTGTGCTGACAGCCAACTCAGAGCCTGGAGCCTGCTTCGGATTCTGTGTCGTCTTCTTTCTCTGACCCTCCCCTGCTCACGCTGCCTCTCTCTCTCTCAGAATTAAATAAAACATTAAAAAAAAAAAAAAAAAGAAATGATCTTCAAACAAGATTTTATATCAGACAAACTTAAAGTAAGTATTTGATACAATACATATGGTTTTTTCCAAGCTACACCTGGCATTAATAAGGGGTGCCTGGAGGGCTCAGCAGGTTTTGTTGTTTTGTTTTGTTATTTTTTTAATGCTTTATTTATTTCTGACAGAGAGAGAGAGACAGTGTGAGCAGGGGAGGTCAGAGAGACAGGGAGATACAGCATCTGAAACAAGCTCCAGGCTCTGAGCTGTCAGCACAGAGCCCAACGCGGGACCCGAACCCACGAACTGTGAGATCATGACCTGAGCCGAAGTCGGACACTTAACCTACTGAGCCATCTAGGGGCGCCTGGGTGGCTGAGTCAGTTAAGTATCTAAGGCTCAGGTCATGATCTCACGGTTGTGTTCTGTCAGCACAAAGCATGCTTCCGATACTTTGTCCCCATCTCTCTGCCCCTTCCCTTCCCTGCTCTTTCTCTAAAAAATATTAAAAAAATAAAAAATAAAAGTGGCATTAATAAAGGAGAGCACGAGCAAATTAAGACCATGAAATTTGTATTCTCAACTGCAAAAGACTAAAAACTAAAGACATTTCGCTTTTCTGCAAACACATCGTGTTGTTTGTACGCAATGCCCTGCAAGCTATTCCCCAAAATGAGCAAGCTTTTGCTTGCTCACCAGAAGTGTGAGCCTTGGGAAAGCCACCAAATACTCCCAGGAGGAAAAGGAGTTTCTAAAGTGGGGTAGGGGTTGTTGTAGAGCCAGCTCTTCGGGTGAAGGTGGGTCCCCTAGGACCGCATGACCAGAGCATCATGCTTCCTTTTAGGACTGAGATACAGCCGCACTTTCAAATGTGCTAGCCAGCAACAGGACTTCACATACATCGAATCCCACTTTTGAGAGCGACAGAAATATACGTAGTACTTTTTTTTACGCTACTCCAATGAACTGCTTCTGTGAACTTTTGAGTTCTTTATCTGAAGATACAGGAATCTAACACAAGGCACTGACCATTAAAAACAAAAGTCTGAGCACAGTCTCACAAGAGCATCATCAAAATCTTAAAAACTCTATATTCAGATCTGAAATAAACTTTGCGGTTTAATTACGGTAATAAAACCAAACACATAGTATATAATGAAATTAATACACTTATAATTGAAGGTAACGAGAATACATAGTATGATTCCATTTACGTTATATACAGAAACAGGCAAAACTAAACTGTCAGGTGTAGGAACGCACGCGGAGGTGACACAACACAGCAAAGCGGGGATGCCATCCTGTCAAGTGCAGAGACAGCCGAGGCAGCGGGGAGGGCCGCCCGACGGATTCTGGAGCGCTGGCGGTGCCCCTCCTTGACCTAAGTGTCTGCCTCACCATCAGTCACTTGGCTGTCTGCAATTTTCAAGCACTTCTCAGTATGTACTTTACTTCATGGTTAAAAACGAAGGAGAAAGGACCGGGTCACAGACTGTCAGTCAGGACAGCCCAGAGCCAACACCAGCCCCGGCAGCGTGAGCTGAGGTGCACGAGAGGCAAGGAAGAGCGCCACCGTGGGGCGCGACAGCCAGGAAACCCGCCCAAGAGGCCTTTCAGGTTTGATGATCCACAGAACAAGCAGTACCAGACCGCCTCTAAAGAACCACGAGCCCTAAGATTCTGTAAGAACCGCTACGCGTCACCCACCTCTTCACAACTGCAGACATGAACTCCTTAGAGGGCATAATGCCACATATTAGAGTAGGATCAAGGCTGCCCGTCGTGGGGACAGCAAGATGGACCAGCAATGGTCACAGTGACCGACACACAAGTCTGTGAGGGAACAGGGAAGCCACTTCAAACCCACCTACACACAGCCAAATTACTAATTATTGAAAACAAGTACGATCCGGGCACCCGGGTGGCTCAGCTGTATAAGCGTCCCTCACAACTCGTGGGTTCGAGCCCTGCATCGGGCTCTGTGCTGACAGCTCAGAGCCTGGAGCCTGCTTCCAATTCTGCATCTCCCTCTCTCTCTGACTCTCCCCTGTTCATGCTATTTTTCTCTCTCAGAAATAAAAACATTAAAAAAATTTTTTTAATCAAAATCATACTCCTATGTGGTTACTATAAATTTAAGAAATTTCTCTACCACGGGGCACCTGTGTGGCTCAGACACTTAAGCATCTGACTTTGGCTCAGGTCATGATCTCAGTTTGAGTTCAAGCCCCACATCAGGCTTTGTGCTGACAGCTCAGAGCCTGGATCCTGCTTCAGATTCTGTGTTTCCCTCTCTCTCTGCCCCTTCCTCCACTCACACTCTTTTTCTCTCTCTCAAAAATAAACATTGGGGCACCTGGGTGGCTCAGTCAATTGAGTGTCCGACTTCAGCTCAGGTCATGATCTCACAGTCTGTGAGTTCCAGCCCCATGTTGGGCTCTGGGCTGACAGCTCAGAGCCTGGAGCCTGCTTGGGATTCTGTGTCTCCCTCTCTCTCTGCCCCTCCCCTGTTCCTGCTCTGCCTCCGTCTCTCAAAAAACAAATAAGCGTTTAAAAAAATTTTAAAAATAATGAATAAGCATTAAAAAAATTTATCCACCACAAAAGAAAAAGAAATGCATGCGGGACTCTAATGGCTGGTGTTTATCACGCAATTGCCTAAAGCGGTAGCTACTTAATGCTTAATCTCAGTCTCCGAAGATCTCTCCAGAATTCCAGCAAGCACCACACCCTAGCACCACCCCCTAGGAGCAAGCGGACCATGGCCAGCTGCTACTGAAAGAGCAAAGAGGAGGAAATTAGAAATTTCTTAAGACTCAGAGATTCTCCTCTCTGCTCTCTATTGCATCTAAATCTCTTTCCTTTTATTCTTACAAATATGACCCCGTAAGCGGTGCTATGGCACGTGATAGGAACTACCTTTTAGAAACCAAATTTCCCAGGGGTGCCCGCGGGGCTCAGTAGGTTAAGCATCTGACTTCGGCTCAGGTCATGATCTCATGGTTCCCGAGTCCAGCCCCGCGCCAGGGTCTATGCTGACAGCTCGGAATCGGCTTTGGTTTCTAGGTCTCCCTTTCTCTGCTCCTCCTCAACTCACGCTCTGTCTCTCTCAAAAAAGCAAATTAGCATTTTAACATTTAAAAAAAAATGAAGAAACCACAGGCGCCTGAGTGGCTCAGTCAGTTAAGCATCTGACTTTGGCTCAGGTCATTATCTAAGGGTTTGTGAGTTCAGGCCCTGTGTCAGGCTCCGTGCTGATGGCTCAGAGCCTGGAACTGCTTCTGGTTCTGTTTCCCTCTCTCTCTGCCCCTCCCCCATTCATGCTCTGTCTCTCTCAAAAATAAACAAACATTAAAAGAAAAATTCCCAGGGGCACCTGGGTGGCTCAGTCGGTTAAGCGTCCGACTTTCGCTTAGGTCATGATCTCGCGGTTCGTGAGTTCAGGCCCCGCGTCGGGCTCTGTGCTGACTGCCAGCTCAGAGCCTGGAGCCTATTTCAGTCTGTGACTCCCTCTCTCTCCGACCCTCCCCTGCTCATGCTGTCTCTGTCTCTGTCTCTGTCTCTCTCTCTCTCGTAGAAATTAAAAAATAAATAAATAAATAAATAAATAAAAAGAAAAATTCCCAAATAAGTATTGTGGCCCCACTAACAGATGATAGCCCAATGACCCTCCCAAATCTGTTTACTTCCTAGGCTTTCAGTTTCCACCTTTGTGAAAAAAGAAAGATTAGACTACATGACACCTAAGATCCCTGACTATAACACTCTATAACCCCACAACTTTCTACATTTGTGAAAATGAGAAACAATATTTATTATTACAAAGGTAAAATCTGTTTGCCACAGATTCAAATACAGAATCTATAAAAGTGGGCCAACTTTTCCCGTAAAGGGCCAGGCAGTAAATATTTTTGCAAGTCATAGTCTCTGTCACAACTACTCAGCTCATCATTAGAGTTCAAAAGCAGCCAGACAGTACATAAACCAGTGAGTGTGGCTGTGTTCTGATAAAACTATACTTACAGAAATAGGAGGTCAGGGAAATGCAACGAGTGTGCCGTGTGCCGAGGGGAAAAGAAATTAGGTCAACCCACGAGCCACAGTCTGCCGATCTCTGGTATGAAGGATAAAGCAAAAGCCGCTCCCCTCACCGTAGGGCTCTCCTCCCTGGGTTATCCTCAAGTCTGGCTGCGCTCCGTCCCATTACATTCTGTGCTCACACGACATTATCTGTGCCCGGGGCTCTAATTCTCTAAACAAAGTGGATCATTCCATACATGTTTTTAACAATTCTCCTTTGATGGACACTTGAGGTCTTTGACTCTCCAATTTTTCATTCTCGTAAATACTAGTCTCGTGAAATATTTTTCCACTTCCCTTCGGCCCCCCGGCCCTCCAAGTGTAAGCAATGGCCAGCCGTGACACGGTCTGATGCTGCATCAGTCAGGACAGAAAAGCAATGCAAGAGACTGAATGAGGGAGCCGGCAGAATCAGGAAAGGACGAAGAAAGGAGTACAGAGGGGAAGGGGTAACAGCTGGGGAGGAAGAAGCAAGCACCCAGGCCACGGCTACCTTTTTCAGAAACGCTGCAGCTGTTTCTCTCTTGGTGGCCGTGATCCGCTTCACACCATCTGGGGACTGGACGCGGATTATCTGTCACAAATGAAACAAGGTGGTTACCGCACAGACTCGTGAGCTCCTGACCTACTACTGAGACTGACATCTGCAGTCTCTCAGCATCTGGGTCACCGAAACTTACAGCCAAACCTCACCCTTCCCCTTGCAACACCCAGCCCAATATTTCTAAAAGATGAACTTGAGGTAGAGGAGATTCGTCAACACGAAAGAAGACAGCCTGTTACGATTTCACTCAGAAAAATACTTCAATTCTTAACCACTATCTACCAGGAAGATATCTGAACCACTTCACGTTTTTCTCTTCAGATTTACAAAAACAACAAACAACAGGAAGAAAAAACTGCTCCATGAACCGTGAATAACTGGCTTTTTTAAAAAAGACCTCACTTTGTTTCAGAATCTGTACACAAGAAGTAGAGTGATCTAAAAGAATCACAGGAAATCTTCTAATTTGTTGCCTTTAATAAAAAGACCAAAAAGAAGACATAAAAGTGTTTAACACCATAGCAAACTTAGCAGGGGGAAAAAAAAATCTCTTTGTGCAGCCGGAACCGGCCAGCAGGCCTGGACCCACACAAAGAGCATCACTTTCCAGAACCGGATTTTTATGCCAATCGAAGTCCTTCGGGAGGGGAGCCGCCAGGCCCAGCCGCGGCACACGTTCCTGGTCCTGCCGCAGTCCCGGAGCGTGAAAGGACATGCCCTGCCGCCGCCGCCAAGACGGCGCTCTAAGCACCTGAGGGACAGCTGGAAAGAAGGGCGGACTCCCCTCCCAGCAACCACTGCACCGTGTGCTGTACAGAAAACCACACACACACACACACACACCAAACAACAAAACCCTTTACACGTGGAAATGTCACAAGCCATTGTTTAAAAAAAAAAAAAAAAAGATTTTCACTGAAGGCACCCAGCTGGCTCCATTAGAGGAGCATGGGACTCTTGATCTTGGGGTTGTGGGTTCAAGCTCCACTTTGGGCGTAGAGATTACTTAAAAATAAAATCTTCCCCCCCCCAAAAAAAAACTTTAATTAAAAAAATTTTTTTTCACTGATACACAACAAAATGCCACAATGGTTTTTGATCTCGTCCCTGCTTCTATCAAACAAAATAAGAATAATCTAGATTCTCCTAAACTAGCTGGACTGTCTTTCTCACTTTCTTTCACTTGACTGAAAAGGCTTTGCCTCCATACTATTCTCAATTTCGAAGATTTTGTTTTGAATAATTCTTATGAAATCCCAATCGTTAAGAGCATAAAATATTTTCTGTTTGCTTAACGACATCTGTTTAACTTTCTCACTCATCAGTAGGGAGGACAAATACAAACTCTTGTGACTTTTATTTCTACTTACTTTACTCTGGATTGAACACCTAGAAAAATGTTTCCATAATGCACAGCATGGGCATTAGACAAATCAATACTTCCGTTTGTTCCTGAAATCTGTCTGCAACACGGTGGCCTGTTAACAAGAGCACCGTTTCCCTTTGGGAGATTTTGTGACCCTCCCTTTGACTGTTCACTTGGGAACAAGAGCATGACATTCGACCGTTGAGGAGCTAAAGGTCAGGCTTACATGTTTCTGGAAAGTTCTGAAGCTTGAGACATCATTCTATTTGATCATATGCAACAGGGCACGGCAGAGTCCAGGTTTCTCAACTAAGCCCAGTATTTGACTCCAACAGACAAACATAATTTGTACTGAAGGAAGTTCTAGCTCCGTCTCTGACACAGGCTACAAAATAAAATACACACAGCCTCCCGGTAACTTAGGTTTCAGGATCTAGAAGAAAATGAGCCCAGAGCACTTCCTGGAGAGTCCAAGATTTACCAAGATAAGGATCAGTTACACCCAGTTTCTCACCTAGCCTTATACACACTAGTAGAAAAATGGCCTTTTCTAAAACAACGTGTTTGTCCCTGGCTACTTGAACTAAAAGTATTACAGTAAACTAAAGAGAGGGTGAAAATAGGTGTGAATGCTAATTCTTATCCTTTTTTCAGAAGTCACTGATGATTAGGAACTCTTATTTTTTTTATTTACTTCTAGGAGAGAGAGAGAGAGACAGAGACACAGCGTGAGCAGGGGAGGGTCAGAGAGAGAGGGAGACACAGACTCTGAAACAGGCTCCAGGCTCTGAGCTGGCAGTCAGCACAGAGCCCAACGCGGGGCTCGAACCCGCGAACCGCGAGATCATGACCTAAGGGAAAGTCGGACGCTTAACCGACTAAGCCCCCCAGGCGCCTCAAGGAACTCTTATTTTAAAAGAAGTCAACAGGGACGCCTGGTGGCTCTGTCAGCTAAGCAACTGGCTTTGGCTCAGGTCATGATCTCATCGCTTGTGAGTTCCAGCCCCACCTGGGGCTCTGTGCTGTCAGAGTGGAGCCCGCTTCGATTCCCGTCTCCCTCTCTCTCGGCCCCTCCTCAGCTTGCACGGTCTCAAAAATAAAAACATTAAAAAAACAAAAAAAGAGGGGCACCTGGGTGGCTCAGTTGGTTAAGTGTCCAACTTCGGCTCAGGTCATGATCTCACGGTTTGTGGGTTCGAGCCCCGCGTCGGGCTCTGTGTTGACAGCTCGGAGCCTGGAGCTGCTTCAGATTGTGTGTGTCTCTCTCTCTGACTGTCCCCTGCTTACGCTGTCTCTCTCTCTCAGAAATAAAATTTAAAAAATTTAAAAATTTTAAAAAAAAGAGTCAATTTCTCTTAAGTTTCTCTTGGGCCATTTGTTCCTTCTGCTCATCTCTAGGCTGAGAGACATGGAGAAGACCCAGGGTCCCTGAAGGGAGAGAGGAAAGCCCTGAACTCCAGAGCTCTTTCCTGTAGACCCAAGACACACAGACAGGAGAATCCACGCCAGTGAGGACCCGGAGCAAAATTGCAGCGGCCATCACACCACTGAAGTAGAGCCATTATCTGCCACCCAATACGGTCTTGCTCCCCCCTCCCCCGAAATCCCGAATATTCCTTAGTGTTAACCAAATTTCTTCTGTCCACCCGGTCTGTTGCTTTTTTTCCAGCCACATTTGCTTCTGAAAGGAAACTTGCCACAAGTAAAGGCAGGACTGTTTTGTTTTTCGTTTTTTTCTCATTTCCACGGACTTCTTTTACTTTAAGGGACACAGGGCCGGGGCGGGGCATTCCAATTCCTAATTCCTGGTCAAAAGTGAAGTCAACCTTTGTAACGTCCCCTTTCAAACAGGTAGCTGTCAAACTGTCCTTGCCATCGAGCGACAGAAGGCGGCGAGCCGCCGTGCGCCCCCCGCCCGGCACCCCACGTCCAGGGTCCCTCTGGACATGGAGCTCTCCTCGCGAGGATTCTGACCCGGCACCTCCGCGGCCCGGGTGCGCAAGCAGGGGCGCCCCTCAGCTCCGAGGGCCCGCCGCCCCGCAGCCCTGCCCCGCAGCCCGGCCCGCGCCGGGGACGTGGTGGCGGAAGGCCCGCGGCCCCGCACCCGGCCCGGCTCGGCCGGCGGAGCCCGTGCGGCCCGCATCGCCAACGGCCGGGGAGGAGCGGAACGAGGGGCGGGCGGGGACGCGGCGGGCCCCCAGCCGGGAGACGGCGGCGGGACGCGGGCTCCGCCGCCCCACAGGCCGCGCCGGTAAATCTGCTGCCTCATCCCGGCGCCCCACTCCCGCTGCCGCCCCACTCACGATGCTCTCGGCCATGGCGGCCGCTCCCGCCTCCGGGCTCGAGCCCCGGGCCGCCGCCGCCGCCTGCCGCCCCGCGGGCCTCGCAGCCCCGGCCCCGGCCTCAGCCCCGGCCCCGGCCTCCCGCCGCCGCCGCCACCGTCGCTCCAGCTTCGCCGCCGGCCGCCACCGCCGCGACGTCCGGCGCCTCGCCCAACGCGCTCCGCCGGCCGCGCAGCCCCGAAACTGAGTTCCGGCCCGCCAACGGCCCGCGCATGCGCACGCGCGCGCCCCCAGTCCGCGCCGGCGTGGCGCGCGCAGCCCGGGGTCCCGCCCGGCACCCGGGAAGGACGCCGCGGGGACGCGCTGCTTCCTGGACGTGCGGGCGGTGCGGGGAAAGTTCGAGCCGCACCGCGAAACAGTCCGTGCTGCGTTATAATTGGGGAAGGTAACATGCCGCCGTCCTGCCGGTCACATGCAAATAGAGAAATGATTTCAGCAAGGGGACATCGCCCCTTCGTCTGTGGACAACGAAAGAAGGCACGGCCAGGAGTCCGACGGAAGGGAAACAACTGAATTTAAACTGCATTTGAGGTCAACGTTTCTTCGCCACAGAGACGTAAGATTCCAAAATACGCCGCCAGGGCCAGCCTCACGGGCCACCCACCGGCGCAGAGGGGCCCGTGCTGGGCTCAGCACTTGCCACCAGCTTGTAACTCTTCCTTCGTGGTTTTCAGCGAGGGCCCCCTCGTCGTTTTGCACTGGGCCCTCCGAGCTCCATGGCGGACCTTGCCCGTGACTGTGGGCGAAGTTATGAAAACTTCTAAGAGGCCAAAACATGTCTTTTTCGAACCCCGTGGACCAGCTTCAGATTGTGTTTATTTATCCCCAGTGCTGAACAGTTCAGGAGACTGCCTGCCACTCTCCTCTCCTCCCCATCTGCACCTCTCACTTTCCCCGGCTCTGTTATTACTATTCCAGTATCAGTGTTTACAACACAATCTGTTCTATAACCTCAATCTCAACAGTTGTTTGAACTCGCCTTGTTCATTCTGTCGACAGATCATTTATCAAGTGCCTTCTTTGTGTGTGGCATGGCTAAGCTAATGCTGGGAATAGAGCAAAAACGAGCATCTAGATCCCTGCGCTGGTGGAGTCTACCAGCAGGAGGCAGGTTGTAAAGGCATCAACATCTAGGTATACAATGTCCAGCAATGGACAACCAAAGCAGGGGAGGGGATGGAGGGTGATAGAGACTATTTTATTTTTTTAAGTTTATTTATTTATTTTGAGGGGGGGGGGAGAATCCAAAGCAGGCTCCACACTGTCAGTGCAGAGCCTGATGCGAGACTCGAGCTCACGAACTGTGAGATCATGACCTGAGCCTGAGTCAAGATTTGAATGTTTGATGGACTGAGCCACCCAGATGCCCAGAGGCTATTTGAAATAAGGTGGTCAACAAAGACCTCTCTAAGGAGATGAGGTGTGATCAGGTCCCAGGTAAAGTGAGCAATACGGGTATCCGAGTGAAGAGCGAAATAGAATGAAGGGAAAGCATGCGCAAAGGTCCAGCGACCTGAGAACTGGGTGCTCCAGGAACAACAAAGCAGCCAATGTGGCTGGGGTACCGAGTGAGGGCAGGGAGAGCTAGGTCAGGAAGAACCATGGCAGATGTGGAAAGGCCTTTAAATTGTCTTCTAAACAGAAGATAGGAAGCCTGCAGAGGGATGAGAGTAAGGAAGGCACGCTCTCCATTATGTTTTAGAAGGATTCTCTGAGAGCTGAATGGACAAGAGACAGCAGGGAGACGGGTGAGGAGGCTGATGCCATGGTCCAGAGGACAGCGTGGTGGCAGCAAAGGCGAGAGGTGTCCAGGTCGAAGACAAACTCTGCAGGAAGAGCCGATGGGTTGCGCGGAAGATCAGCACACTGGGTTCTGTTCTGCCGGCGCCCACCCTTCTATTCTCTGTCCTGCTTTTTCTTTTACAGAGTGGCCTCTGACCTTTCTGCTTCTCTTCTGTCCAAATATACTCATTACATTTTTTTTCAACCTTTATTTATTCTTTTTTTTTTTTTAATTTTTTTTTAATGCTTTATTTCTAGGAGAGAGAGAGAGACAGCGCGAGCAGGGGAGGGTCAGAGAGAGAGGGAGTCACAGACTGAAACAGGCTCCAGGCTCCGAGCTGGCAGTCAGCACAGAGCCCAACGCGGGGCTCGAACCCACGAACCGCGAGATCATGACCCAAGCGAAAGTCGGACGCTTAACCGACTAAGCCACCCAGGCGCCCCAGCCTTTATTTATTCTTGAGAGAGAGAGACAGAGGGCAAGTGGGGGAGAGGCAGAGAGAGAGGGAGACGCAGAACCCGAAGCAGCTCCAGGCTCTGAGCTGTCAGCACAGAGCCCGACATGGGTCTTGAACTCACAAACCATGAGATTGTGACCTGAGCTGAAGTCGATGCTTAACCAACTGAGCCCCCCCAGGCGCCCCTATTACACTGACTCTCTGAAGTTGTGTAGTACCCGCATCACTTTGATTGGGCTGCCGTAACAAAATCCCACAGCCTGGAGAACTTCAGTCCATTTTCTCACGGTTCTGGAAGCTGGAAGTCTGAGATCAAGGTGACCAAGTTTGGTTTCTTCTGAGGCCGCCCGCCTTCGCCGGCAGACAGCTGTCTTCCCTCTGTGCTCAAGCAACCTTGGTGTCTCTGTGCGTCCGTTTCCTCTTCATACGACGATGACATTGGCCTCATTTTAAGTTGATCACCTCTTTAAAGGCGCTCTCCCCAAGTCACGTGCTGAGGTAGTGGGGTTGGGACTTCAACATACGGGTTTTGGGGGACACACAATTCAGCCCATAACAGAGGTGGTAGCTGTAATTTCATTCAGGTTTGCCCAATATCGGGACAGAAGTGAGATGGAGCCAGAGAGGTGATTGCCGTGCCCCACCTCCACCCCCCGCCAGAGAGCCTCGTTTGGAGCGGAGTGCTGTCACTGACGAGGCCTTGGCTTGTCACTTTGAGGATGAGGTGAGTGGACGCTGGATGGCCCCAGATCGAATCTGCAGCTTTGCCCCGAACTTCCACCTGCCGCACCATGACCCGAGCAGCGCTTTTCAGAGTGTGAGTCAGGATGTGATGCTCTTTCACCCAACACCCATCTCCCTCCGAGGGGACTCCCCTGGCACGTCCATCAGCCTTGTTCCTGTCCCCTCCCCGCATCCCTCCTCCTCCTCTTCTTCTTGACTTCTTTTTTTTTTTTTAATTAGGATAATAGGGCGCCTGGGTGGCTCAGTCAGTTAAGCGCCTGACTTTGGCTCAGGTCATGATCTCATGGTCTGTGCGTTTGAGCCCCAGGTCCTGCTCTGTGCTGACATCTCAGAGCCTGGAACCTGCTTCGGATTCTGTGTCTCCCTCTCTCTCTGCCCCTCCCCCTCTTGTGCTGTGTCCCTCTCTTTCTGTCAAAAATAAATAAACCTTTAAAAAATATGCTGGTGGGCAAAGTAATAAAAAATAAAGTTAAATAAATTAAGGTGAAATTCAGGGCTCCAGGGTGGCTCAGTTGGTTGAGCATCAGGGTCTTGATTTCAGCACGGGTCATGACCCAGGGTCATGGGATCGAGCCACATCAAGGTCCATGCTGAGTGTGGGGCCTACTTAAGATTCTCTTTCCCTCTATCCTTCTCCTTCATTCCTTCTCTCTCTCTCTCTCTCTAATATGATGAAATAAAGATGAAATTCTTTAACATGTTGTTAACCACTTTAGAGTGAACAATTCAGTGGCATTTAGTGCTTTCAGAATGTGGTACAACCATGGCCTTTGTGGTTCCCACACATCACCAGCACCCGCAGAGGGAAACCCCGCCCCATTCAGCAGCAGCCCCTGTTCGCCTCCCCAGCCCCTGGCAGACACCGATCTTCGTTCCGTCCTTACGGATTTACCTGTTCTGAGTATTTCATACGATGGAATCCTACAGTATGTGGACTCTTGTGGTCCGGCTTCTTTCCCTGTGTGATGTTTCCAAGGTCCATCCGTGTCGTAGCAGGGGTCGGAGCTCCGTTCCTTCCCACGGCTGAGTAACGTTCCTTTGGGTGGATAGAGCGCACCTGGATTATCCGTTCTTCACTGATGGCCCCCTGGGAAGTTTCCCCCTTTGGGCGATTGCAAATAATGTTTCTGTGAATATGCATGTATGTGTATTTGTTTGAGCCCCTGTTTTCAGTTCAGGACATAGCTGGGAGCCAGACACCTGACAGTGAGGCTCTCCCTGACCACCTTACAGAAGACGGCACCCCTTCCCCCAACTCTTCCCCTCCTTTCCTGGCTTCATAACTCTGACGACCATATAAAATCACATATATTCACGTATCTATTTGCTTACGTTACGACTGCCTCTTCCTGCTGACTAGGGCTTGACAGGGTTTCCACTGCTGAATCACCAGAGCCCCACCCCTGACATGTATCAGTGATCTCTGGCCCCAGGTATCTGTTATAGAATTATAGCTATCGTAAATCTGTGGGGACGATAATGGGGTGGAACGAACTCTTCCAAAGCTTAGCAGCTTCAGCCACTTGCTCACCTCGTGATCCTACAGGTCAGGATGTAGACGGCTCAGCTGCGTAGTGGTTGCGTGGCAACATGAACCCAGAACTCAGAACAAAACGAAGCAAAATCGAGCACATTAGAAGTGAAAAGTGCCCCCCAAAAGCCCAGTAAGGGGAAACCTCTGCTTGCTGGGCAGGATGTGGTCTGGAACTGGACACAGGAAGGAGATTTCAAGAGGCGGCAAAGGTCAAGGGCACATGAGTGTGGGCTGTTGGGGGCCAGCAAGCAGCCATGTGGCTGGACTGTTGGGGGGGCGGGGGGGCGGGGAGCTGGGGCTTGGATGTCAAACAAAAGCAGTCAAGAAACACCAGAGAAGATAGGGACACCTGGGCATGTGGCATACTTGCCTGGAAGGAGGCCCCCCTTCTCCTGCCGCAGAAACATGCATGTGCCCCCAACTTCCAGAGATCCCCACAAGCCAGCGACTCACATGCATATCATAAGCTCACACATCACGAGGGATGGAGGGAGGCATGGAGAGTTATGTGCCCATGTTCTCAAAGCATTGGTAGTGGGTGGGGATCTGCTCTGAGCCCTCCCTCCCACTGCCATCCAGGCCAGGGAGAGAGGCCAGGGGGTATAGGGCCAGAAGGCCTCGAACACCCTGTCCGCACAGCAGTCGCGTGGCCCGGGCCCTCCCAGGCTCAATGGAGATGGTGAACACGGTCCTGCCCCTGAGAAGACAAAGTCAGAGGGGGCGGGGAGCCCAAGTACCTCAAAACCAGGAGGGATGCGGTCTGGCCAGTGGATGCTGGCTCATTCTTGCAGCAAACAAATGGGAAGCCACCCTGGCACTTAGCTGCGGGCAGGCCTCCCAGGACTGTTTCTGGGAACCAGTTCGCGGGTCGGGTTTCCTGGGTGGGCCGGCGGAGAGGGCCTGCTAGGCCGAGGCCCACGCGGGGCCTGCAGCGGTGGCCACGAGGTGGCACCCCGCCCACATCACGCCCGCACAGAGCCTCAGGGAATCCACAGAGGGTCTGCGTCTTAACAAGCAGAGGGTGTCTTAAGCCCTAAAGTGTGATGCCTCACATGATCTGGTCATGACTGTGGCACCCTGGTTCAGCTCACAGCTCAGCCGCTCACGGAGCGGCCGAGGACACAGCGCCAGCTCTGTGTCCCAGCTGGAGAGGCCAGGCAGGGGCCCATCGCACCTGTCCCGCTGGAGAATGGAGGAGGGGGAAAGGAGCCCCCTGCTGGCCCAGGTAAGCCAGTGCCCTGTTGGACTCTGCCCCGGATTGGAGATCTCTCCACCCCCGAAGGCTCTTGGGAGGACCTCAGGCTGGGTGCCCCCCGCCCTGAGCCTTGCTGTGTGCTGGGGCCAGTCAATAGGGGCACAGCCATGAGGAGCTAGATTAGGGTGGAGGGTTTGCGGATCAGGCACGGTACCCTCACCCCGCACCTTGCTCCAGCTCCGAAATGCTTCCTGTTCTTGCCCTTGTGTTTGATGTGGTGCTGGCTGCGTCCGTGGCTCTGGGAAAGGCACACACCCAGGCGACGGTGCCCACTGGGGCCTTCAGGGCCTCCCTCCTGTCCTGCTCATCCACCTCCTCCGGTGACTGCTCCCTCCAGCCTCTTGGCCTTCTTACCCCCCTGCTGCCCCTCCCCCCGTGGGTCTGGACAGCAACCTCTGGCTCAGGGTGTAGGAGGGGCTGAAGGCCAGCGTGCCTCCTAGCTGGCCTTGGAGCTGCAGGATGACTTCTTGGACCATGCCTATGGCCTCCGGCAGCCCCAGCACCCCCCAGCACCCCCAGCACCCCCAGCACCCCCAGCACACTCCCAGCACCCCCCAGCACCCTCCAGCACCCCCTAGCACACCCCAGGCCCCCCAGCACCCCTGGGCCCCCAGCACCCCCAGCACACCCCCAGCACACTCCCAGCACCCCCAGCACCCCCCAGCACACCCCAGGCCCCCCAGCACCACTTTTTTGTCAGGGTGAGACCCAGGGCCCAGCGTCTTTGCTCATGTGTGTACGATCATCCCCAATGCCCCATGGTTCTCCCCGATCTCCAGCGGCCGCAGCTGACCCCAGCACCCCCCAGCACCCCCGGGCCCCCCCCATGCAGCCTGGCGCCAGCACCCTGCCCCTTTGCTCCTACTGACTGTTGGGGTGTCAGGGCTGATAAACAGTTCTCCTTTCCTCTGCTCCAAGTTCATAATGGATGAGGCTTTGATGCAGTCAGACGTCGGGGGTGGGGTGGGGTGGAGGACAGCTTCTTCCTGGTAAACTGGTTTGGAATGGGAGCCCTGCGCAGGCGTGGGAGCTGCAGCTTCCTAACTCCGCCCCCAGACTCCAAGGGCAGGCTGTCCCTCTCCCCCCGCAGGCAGAGAGCACCCGCCTGCAGGTGGAGAAGGTCAGGGTCGGGCAGGCAGACGTGACACTGAGATTGTCCGTTAAGGGGAGCCGTGGGACAGACTTAGCCGCTTCTCTGAACCTCAGGATCCATGAGCTGCCCCTCTGTGGGAGACCCGGGGAAAGGGACGGGTCAGCACTTCCTGACCACCCACACTCGGCCCGGTCAGTGCCCCAGAGCCTGGCTGAGTGTCCTGCCACAGAGCCCTGGTCCCCTGGCCACCCTTCGTGCTGCCCTGGGAGCCTGTCTCCTATAGCTGCAGGTCCAGCACCACAGCCACTTCCCTGGATTGCCTTGCTGTCTGGACGGCGAACGGGCAGCGTGCAGCCAGCCCTTGTTTGGAACGAGGTGGGCCCTTACCGTCCCCCCTGCCGCCCAGCTGAGCAGGACCAGCCCGGGGGCTCCCGTGTCCCTGGCGACCGAGGGTGTCTGAGCCTCCGGCTCTCCATGCACTGTCCAGCCTTTCCCGCTGCCGGGCTCCGACCCCCGCCACGAGGAGGGGGCTGCTCCCTGTTGGTTATCACGTCGCGCTGGTGAAGTCTCCCTGTTCATTCCTGCAGGACACCGGGTGCCAGGAGGGGCCGCTCACCTCAAGCCGTCCAGGTCCCGCACCCCGAGAGGACCGGGTCTGGAGGGCAGGCCCCGGGGGAGACCCGGCCTCCTCCCTGCCCTGGGGCATCAGCTGCCTGAAGTGTCTGACCTTCCTGTTCAACTTCCTCTTCTCTCTGTTGGGTCTGCTGGCCCTGGCCATCGGGCTCTGGGGCTTGGCCGTCAAGGGGTCTCTGGGGAGCTGCTGGGGGGAGGCCCTGCCCGAGGACCCCCTGCTGGGACTGGTGCTGGGGGGGCTGGCGGTCAGTGCGGTGAGCCTTGCGGGCTGCCTGGGTGCCCTGTGCGAGAACGCTTTTCTGCTCCGCTGCTTCTTGGGGGGCCTTGTCGCCTTCCTGCTGCTGGAGGCCGTGGTGGGTGCCCTGCTGGTGGCCCTCTGGGGCCCGCTGCGGGACGGCCTGGAGCGCGCCCTGTGGGCGGCCATCACCCACTACCAGCGCGACCCGGACCTGCACTTCCTCATTGACCAGGTCCAGCTTGGGCTACAATGCTGCGGGGCGTCTTCCTACCGGGACTGGATGTGGAACCTGTGAGTCCCGGGGCCTCCGGGGGGGGAGGGGCCCCCAGCGGCCACCAGGCCAGGCCACGCACTGGCTCGCGTGGGCACGCTCACTCGCACAGGCTCCCATGTACACACACACGTGCACGTGTACACTCTCAGGCTGTGTTCCTGCTCTGTCATGGGGGTGTTTTTGTGAAGGTCATCATACAGGACATCTCAGTGTCCAATGAAAACAACCTTCAGGTTACTTGGGGACACGACTCTGGACTCCACAGTTCTCCCTTGACAGTGGGTGCACGCCCACGTCCGTGTGTGAGTGTCCATGTGTACGTGTGTGTGTACGTGCGTGCGCGTCACTGTGCGCGGGTCCGGTGAAGCGTTGTGGACTTAGGAACCCAGCGTAGTGTGGTTTTCACACTCTGCTTGAGGACAACTGACCACGGAGGACGGAGTCATACAGAGACTTGGAAACCGGCCGTCTGTAGCCAGCAGTCACTCAGACATGCCAGGCGTTCCAGAAGTGTCCACGTGGGTGTGCCCGCTCGTGGGCTTCGGATTAGTGGCGGGCCCCTGTGGGGTCGTGCTGCCACCTATCCTGCTGGTTGAGTCCTTGCCTTAGTAAGGCCCACGCTTCCAGGAGGTGTGCCTGGGCCTGTGAGGGGGACGGGCCTGCGGGCACAGGGCCCTGGACCCCGTCAAAGGCTGGGGACGCTTGGGGCTGCCCGGGGGGCAGGGGTGCTGTGAGGAGAGCAACTTCCTCCGGCCCCCCCAGCTCCTCCCAAGCTGCCCCCCTTGTCACTGCCCCTCACTCCCCATCGTGACCCACCGCCAGGCTTCCGCCCACCTGCCCCCCCAGTCCCGCCTGCTCAGACCAACTCAGCAGCCCCCCCTCATCACGTGCTTGTCTCCCTGTCAAACCTCTCACCAAATACGTCCCTTCCAGCCAAGATTTTACGTGTGCCTGCACGTACACAGGGCTACCACACGCTGGGGGAAGTTACAGAAACCTGGGTGCTGTGTGTGCGCAGGTCTGCAGGGGTGCGGGTGCGTGCCCCACACTGACGCCCAGGTGTGCCCTTACAGGGACTTCAACTGCAGCTCCCCGGGGGGCCAGGCCTGCAGCCTCCCCGCCTCCTGCTGCATCCACCCCGGCGGGGATGCAGCCTCTGTCAACAAGCAGTGTGGCTCAGGAGCCCTGCGCCTGGATGAGGACGCGGCTCGGGCGGTGGTGCATCTGCAGGGCTGCGGCCCTCCTCTCCGGCGGTGGCTACGCGGCACAGTCCGGGCCGCGGGCGCCTACATGATCGTGGTTGTGGCAGTTCAAGGGGTGGAGCTCCTGTTGGCCAACCAGCTGGTGAAGGCCCTGGCCGTGCGCCGGGCGGCAGTGGGCACCCCAGAGCTGCAGGGCCGGGGGGCTTCTCCGCCGACCCCTGCCGCACGGGCTCAGGGCTGACAGCCCAGGATGACCCCCGGGGGCAGGGTAGGCAAGGCACGTCCACCTCCTTCCCGGTTCCGTCAGGCCCTATCACCTCCCGATATCACAATTTTCAGGGGCTCTTGATCTCGACCACGGAGTCGGGCGCTGCCTGCTCCCTCACAAACACCACTGTGACCGGAGTGTAAGCTGAGCCTGGTGGGTGCTGCTGGCCAGCGTCTGTCTCCTGCCAGGACTCAAGCCAGAGCCACCTGGCAGGCGGGGGGAATGTGGGGTACAGGGACCGGATGAAATCCCGCTGCCAAGCCCCCAACGCCAACCTCCACCTCCGAGCACCTCTGATGCCTACCTCCGAGCCCTGCCTCTGACCTCCACTCTGAGCCTGCCTCCGAGGCTCTGCCTAGGCTGCCACCTATGACCCCTGACCTCCCAGCCCTGAGGCCCATCCCCGAAGCCTCACTCTCTCACCACAGCCTGGCACCTGCCCCGCTCTGGGGTCACCTCGCCCTTTCCAATCCATTGTGGTGGTTGAGGGTGAGGTGCAGGCAGGAACAAACTTTAGTGAGATGTAGCATTCATGCAATAAGTAGCGCCGGTGTTGAGTGGGCAGCATGAGGAACCCTTTCCTGTCTAAGCACCTGCACACTGGCTCCCAGGTCAGGAGGCCGCAGCCGCCTCCTCTGCCGCCTCCCTGCAGGCACCCTGATCGCACATCGCTTTCGTTACTCTGGTTTCTTCTGGTTTTCACATTAACGGGACCACAGAGGGCCCTTCCCAAGAATCACGTCTGCACCGTGCTATGTGCGCAGAGCCCGCAAACACAGCTGGCCCCTGCGGACACACACTTGGGTAGCTTCCGGATGCTGACTGCTGCTGGGGACAGTTTCACACAGGTGTGTGCAGGTGCACCCACTTCCGCCGGGTGCGGTGTCAGGGCCGGAGCTGCAGGGTCACGGGTGCGCGTTTGTCCAGCGTTCCTGGGCAAGGTGGCTCCAGCAGCTGGCACGCACGCTGCCACCCCCAGCCTGTCTGGCCCCGCGGCGCGTACCCCCAGCAGCCATGGCCCGGCCTCAGCGTCTCGTGGGCTTCCTTCCCCTCAGCCCGGCCAGGCCCCTGCCGCCCCGCACCTGCACCCGTGCGCTCCCACTGGAGACCCCCGCCCTCGGGCCCTGCCCACACCACACTCTCTGGACGAGCGAGTGGAGGCATGCTGACTTTATTTTGCGACAGGGACAGCAAGCACGGGCCGTGGCGGAAATGTCAAGTTTCCTGCTGGTGCGATGGGCTTGGACGGGTGCTGCTCTCTTGCTGATGCCGCTAGGAGCCCCCCGCAACCCAAGGGCACCAGCTGGGAAGGACTGGCGAGGGGGGCTTGTCCTCAACGCCAGACAACAGGACAGGGGCAGGGGTGAGGGACATTTCTCGGAGCCCCCGCCCTAGCTTTCCAGACCTAAAAGAAGGTCTGTGGGCTTGTGGAAGTTAAGCAGGGCCTGACCGGCCCCGAGGTGTCCTGTAGGGAGATGATGGGCTTCTGGTAACTAGCGTCTAGGGGCCCAAGGTTGTCACCTTGCCAGGGTCTCCAAACACAAACTGGACAATCGGGACACCCTCAGGGGGATGGGCTTCCTCACGGGAATCCTGAGCGGGAGCGGGAGTGGGCAGCAGGGGGCCCGGCCCTGGGGCTCCGGGACAGGCTCCGGCGCTAGATGATGCCGTACTGGGCCAGTTCGTGCAGCTCCAGGTGGTTGAAGGCCTCCCATGGGCAGATGACTGTAATGTCTGCGGGAGAAGGGACAGTGGGACCAGGAGGGTCATGGTCCCCAGGGCCACCATCCCCTCGGGGCCCTGTGGTCCTGCCCCACGTGGTGAGCGCAGAAGTCCTGCATGCAAAGCCCTCCCCCTGGGGCAACGCCAGCCCGAGGGTGTCAAGTGGAGACGGTGGGTGCAGCAGGCCCGGAGGAGAGAGGCGACAGCGGGAGCTCCCCGTGGCCCTGTGCCTTTCCGGCCCCTCCGAGTCCACGGTAACCCACCGAATGGGACAGAGAATGAAGGGCAGGCTTGGGCAGGCCCCTAGGTAAGATTCTGCCCGAGGAAGGAGAGGAGGGATGGGGCAGGAGCCCACAGGTGGGGGGCCGGGGGGACCTGGGAAGACCCTGGCGGCCGTCATACCTGTTCCCAGGCCTTCCATTCCAGGGATGTCGTCCCCAAACCTACAGGACAGAGTGGTCAGAGCCAGGGGCCAGGAGGAGAGGAGTGGGGGTGGGGGGTGTTCATGCACTTGACCGTAGCCCCTGTGTTGCCCAGCGTGCCTTGGCTGAGTGTGTGCAGGGACGCACGCTGGTGGGTGGGCTGTGGCTGAGTCCCTGGGTGGCAGTGAGCTTAGTCTCCAGACCCATTTGGCAGTAACAGGTGAAAGGTGATAGGCGCCCCCGAGCCCTCCCGCCCCCCACGCTGAGGGGGACCCTCAGGCTGCTGGGAACCACCCCAGCCCGTTAGGACAATGGGACCGCCCTCAGCCAGGACAGGACGACAGGACAGAACGGCTGAGCACCCCCTCAAAGTGGGGCCCCACCTCCTTCCTGCGCAGCCTGGGGCCAGCCCGTCCCCAGGCCTTGCTCACCCTTGGACGCCTTTCTTGGGGGGCTTGCTCTTGAACTGCCTGGTTTGCCGCTGCTTAAATTTGGGGGGTCCTTTCCTGGGAGTGACAGGCCCCCCAATCACCCTGGTGGCCGACCGAATCTCGGCCTTGGGTGGCTCCAGGTTCATGGCCAGGATGGCGGAGACACCACGGAGACCTCTGGCTTCTAGGCTTCCTCACGCTGAGGGCTGGGGGCACAGCAGGCTGGGGGCGGGGGGCGTCCCAGTCAGCTCCCTTGCAGGTCTCACCCAGAAACACACAGGGAATCCTGAAACATAAGATCCTGAGCATGACCCTGAGGGCAGCCCCCTCTCATCTCTAGGCGGGGCTCCAGCTGGGGTCAGGCAGAGGGAGTGAGAGTCCTGGGTGGCCCTCCGGGTACACCCCCTCGGGTGGGTGGGGACACTCTGTCTCAGAACAGTGTCAATGAGAAAGGGAGGGCAGGGTGCTGGCCAGGCAGGGGCCTGTCTCAGGACAAGCCCAGAGCTCAGCGGTGCAACCCTCCCCCCTGCCCCCTGTGGCTTCCTCCCTCAACTGGTAGAAGTTTCCGCCCCACCCCCACCTCTGCCCACTCACCATGCTTAGGACCTGCTCTGGGCACCAGTGTCACCTGCTGGTGTCCCTGAGCCCACTGCATAGGGTGACCGCCTCTCTGCCCCTCCCCCAGGACCTCTCCCGGGATGCCCTAAGCCCCTCTGACCCTGCTCAAGGGCGACTTGGCTTCCCCTAAGCCTATTAGCACCAGGGGGAGACTCTAATCTCTCGGGGCCACTGGGAGCCTGGAAGCTTCTGGGGCTAAGCACATGACACAGATAGGAGCTCAGGCACCACCCCTTGGGGCCAACCCCTGGTATCGTGGCTGCGGAGCCTGAATCCAGCCTTGAGCCGCTGCCACGGCCTGCTAGAGCGGCAGGGCTGAGACTGAGCCTCAGGGCAGGCCGGACGGCCCCCCCTCCCCGGGAAGGCTGCGTGGTGGGGGTGGGCGCCTGGTACCAGGCAGACCCCACCGTGGACCTTTCCTGCCTAAGATTCAGCCTCTGTGCCGAGAGGACAGGCACGGGGTCCAGGGTGGGCGGCGGCGGCCCTGGTGGCCCTGGCTGCTCAGACCCCGTGATGCCCACTCCTCACAGCCAGACCCTTTCCCCAGGCCCAGGCCACGTGCGGCCTGGACCCGGACCGAACTGCTACCTACAATCAGACGCTGGCCTGGTGGAAGCTGCTGTCCAAGCTCTCCCAGCTGCCCCGGCCCCCGCCCAGCCTGTGGCTGATGCCCACTCAAGGTGGCTGGGAGTGTGCGGCCCAAGATCCCCAGACCACTGCCAGCCTCGGGACTGCCTGCCACCACCGTTCGGTATGGGGGAGCTGAACACGTTTGGCTGCGTAACGTCTCTGAACAGGCCGGCAGGCAGGCCCCCGCAGACCCGGTCCTCAATGCGGTGGTGAAAAGCCCGCCAGCTCACCACCCTCGGGGCAGGTCCCCACCAACCCCCTTGGGTAAGCGGCCACCAAGAAAGGCAACCAGGAAAGTCACTACTCACCACGCGCTCGGCGGGTCTCAGGGGGCCACGGGTGTGCGTGGCCAGGCCTCCCTCAGCAGGCTGCAGGCTGGAAATTTATCCTGCCTCTGGCTAAGCCGATTAGGACTGTTCCCTGACACCACACTGATGAGATTGTCAGGGCCACTCGGAAGGGCGGAGGACTCAGGGAGAGGAGGGAAGGGGCTTGGGTGTGGTCTGGGCCCCAAGGGATGAGCCAGGGATGGGGTCAGGACCAGGGATACGAGGTGCGATTACAAAGAGCTGGGAAGGGGCAGGACTTTCTCCGGAAGCTGGTTGTCTCTGAAGTGAAGACGACACTGGCTGTTGTCCTGGGTCTCTCCCACCGTCCATCCTCTGACTTGTAAAGAACCTGCCTTCACAGTCCCCAAAGTCCTGTGTAGTCTGGGCACTATCCGCCTCTTTGACTTCACCTTTATCCTTCCCTCTTGCTCTCCATGCTCTCACCCCTTCTACCCCAGGATCTTTGTACCTCTGCCCCCTCCGCTGGTGTATTCTGCACCTGTCCCCTAGCTCCCTCTCCAGAGCTCTCCCCTCCTTAGGGCGACCCCTCAGGCTAGACCAGAATGCACATTTCACAGGAAGTCATGGCAGCTGGAACTCTCCTTCACCACGCTTACGTAGTTGTTCATCTGAATAACGCTTGTGTTCACCTCTGCCTTCCACCTGACGGTGGAGTGGGGCAGACATTTCTACGGGACCCCAGTGTCTAGCCCAGAGCCAGACACGTCACAGATGGTGGAGGAGTAGCTGGGAAATGAACGAACGAAGACGAGATCTGCCCTGCACGCGTCCCAGCAAGCCCAGTGGCGGTGCTGCACTGGCCCCCATGACTGCCACGTTCCTCCCTCGTGGAGGAGACGCCTGCCTCGCTGCCACGGGCCATGCCAGGGACTTCTCAACGGGGATGTCTCACGCTGCACAGGCCTTCGTTAGGGCTGTGGAGCCCCGAAGCGAGACCAATTTAGTAGCGTGCGCTCAATGTGTACATACACGCATATGTGAGCACATATACAAAACCTCATAAATCTGAATTTTTAAAATTTTTTAAAAATTTATTTTGAGAGAGAGCAGGGGAGCAGAGAGAGAGAGGGAGAATCCCAAGCAGGCTCTGTACTGTCAGCACCGATGCTGACGTGGGGCTTGATCCCACAGGCCATGAGGTTATAACCTGAGCCAAAACCAAGCATCAGACCCTTAACTGACAGCCACCATGTGCCCCATAAATCTGAGTTGTTGAGAAAAATAAGAAAACCTCTGTCTCTGAGATAAGCCACCCCTTCAGGGAGGCTCAGAGCCCACCAGGCTTTGCTGTGCTGCTGTCTCCGGGGAAAACTGTTCTCTTCCTGGGCTGTTTCTGAATCTGTATGAGAATGCGGTTAAATTAGATGCTCTGAGATATAGCCTAATAAACGTGTCGCCATAAATCAGGTTTCTCTGACAAACCCAAACCCTGTTTTTGGAGGGCACTCAGCTGTTCAGAAAGACAGCCCCAGCCACGGGCATCTTACTGGCCCACACGCCTCGATGTGACACACTAGCTTTCCATTAAAGCCCCCACCTGGGAAGGCCTATCAGCTCAAAGCGCTCATGAAATTCTTGTACAATCTTAGCTTTTTCTTTAAACGAGAAGAGATAAAACAGGCATACATCCCTTTAAGCCCCATCTCGTCCAGGCTACTGGCACCAGCACATGATGTGCTGGGGGAGGGAGAGAAGGCGGGACACTTTCCATGTCGGGGGCGAGCAGGAGGTGGGCATGGGCAGCGAGGGCCCTATGACAAAGTCCCACCTGGGCTGGATGGTCCAGCAGCCGGGTCTGCGGCCAACGACGAGGCCGGTGCCTGGAGGCTGATCGTAGGGCAGAAGCCCTGGCCAATCGCCTTGATCCGTGGCTCAGTGGGCTGGAAGGGCTGCCGGCTCAGGCCCCGTGGGCTAGTGACTGGGTATCTCCCCAAGGATCCCTGCAGGTGGGAGAAAGAGGCCCTTCCCAGGCCGCCTGCGGGCGCTCATGTGCCCCGGGGGCCTGGCCACCCGCAGCTTCGTGGGGGCGGACGGCCCTCCCCTGCTGCAGCACTGAGAGTAGCCAGAGCTGACCTCGGGGCGGGACTTCTGGGGTGCCGGGAAGGGGGCTCCTGGGGTCACTGTCACATGATCATTCAAAGCAGTGGAGCTTCCGTCACCCTCGCGGATTGGTGACAGCTGGAGGCTCTCGATGAACGTTCAACAGCAACCTGTACCATCTTTCTGGGACAACGCGACATAAGTCCTACAGACGACAACACAGATAGATGCCTCCTGGCTCAGCGCCACACAGAACGTATTTATTCTCAGGTGAAGTCAGTAAGTCATCCTCCCTACTCCTGTCTGACACCCGCCTCCTGGAGGGCCACGAATAAAGCTCAGTGTTGCTTCCCGGAGAGGAAGGAGCTGCCGGGCTGGGGCCCGTCTGGATGCGGGTGCTAGGCAAGCGGGCTCAGCGTCCACACCTCGCTCGGAGCCGGATCTCCATCCTGAGGAAGGCCTTGAGGTTCTCGTCTGCCACGTGCTCTTCCAGGGCGGCCAGGGCCCGAGCCCCGCCGTCCTGGTGGCGCTGCAGCAGCGCCTCCGCGTACTCCACCCACACGCAATTGGGGCAGCCACTCATGCAGCAGTTTGTGGGGGGCTCGAGCCCGGGGGGCGGGGGAGATGGGGGTTCCGAGGGGGCCCCGCCAGGCACGGAGGACTTGTGCTGCCCGGCGCCCTCTGCACCGCACTGAGAGCCCACCTCCACGTGGTCCTTCTCCAACTCCCCGTGGCCTCGCCGGGCTTGGACCCAAGCACGGTGCCTGTCAAGGCTGCTGCTGCCTCCAGGAAGCCTTCGGCACCAGCCCCAGCTGGAGAGTCGCCGTGGCCCCTAAAGGAGACAGAGGCTGGTAAGGCCTTGCCTGCCCCCAGCTCCAGGGGAATTTCGGCCTCCCGTCACTCGCGGCTTCACCGCTCGTTTCCCATGAGACCTTAAGACAAGTCACTCCACCTCGAGACTCAGTTTCCTCTCTGTTAGGATAACACACGCCTCCTGAGAAACGCTGGGTTCAGGGGCAGGCGCTGGGTCGCATCACAGCACGTGGTGGCGCGGGGTACGTTGGCACCCCAGCTAAGAAGGCTCTGCTCCTTTGGCAGAATGGGGGCGGGGTGGGCCTGCGAGCTGGGGCCACACAGCAGCTATTCCCTCTCCAACCAGCGTGGCCGCGTCTCGGTCCTTCCCCCATCCTGACTGCGGGCACCGCCCTTCACCCTGTTTGCTCCCCAGCCCCCCGCGTTCTCTGGCCCCAGCCCCGGACACGGGGTCCCCCCCCCACTGTCGCCGGGGCCCTCAGCACCGACCGCGCGGCCCCGACTCTGCTTCACCACCTCTAACTTGTAAGGAGCATCAGCTCCCTGTTCGCTTCCCCAAAGAGCTCGCTCACAGCGGGCGTGCAAGGGGCACCGCGGGCCCAGCGCAGGGCGGCCCTCCCCGCGGCGCCCGGGCCGCAGCCACGGCGCCCCGCAGACCTCGCCCGCCCGAGCGCCCAGCCCCGGCCCCCGGCCCGCGGCTACTTGCCGGACGCCGGGCAGCGGCGGCCACCGCCCGGCCCCCCCCGGCCAGGCTCCGGAGCAGCATCGCCCACCGCCGGACCCCGCGCACGCGCGCCTCACCCCGCCCTCGGCGGCGTGCGGGGGCCCGTTGCGGCCAATCCCGGCCCGCCAGGACGCGGCACCTCCCGGGTGCGCTGAGCGCAGGAAGCGGAAGTGGCGGTCGGGGGCGGGACCGTGCGGAAGGGCGGAAGTGGCTTCTTCCCGGAGCGCCTGGCGTGCAGATGGCGGGCGCCGCGCGCAGAGGGGCTTCCCGGGTCGGGACGGCGGGGCCCGGGGGTCCGGGGCGGCCGGCGGGGAGGCGGCGGCAGCTGCCGGGGAAGCAGCGACCAGCGCCGTGTCCCGCGCCCCGCAGGTGGGTCTCTCCCCGGCCCCGTGCGCCCGTGCCGTGGGCGCGCTGAGGGCCGCCGGGTGAGCGCGGACGTGAAGGTCTCCAGCGTGGAGGCGCTGCCCACCCGCCGAGGTGCCGTGTTTGCTACCCTGGAGGAGGCCAGGGTCGAGGAGCCCTCCTGGGGCTCTGGGAGCGGCCCTCACCCCAGCGTCCTGCGAGAGCCCTGCCTCCTTGCCTGGCACGCACCCCAGGGTGGCCTGCGAAGTTCCCGTCCCACGCCCGGCTTCAGTTTCTCTGTTCTGCTTATGCCGAGCTTAAGCTGCGTCTTACTCTCCTGTTCTCGCTCCCAGCAAAGAAAAAAAGAAAGTAAATTGCAAGCCCAAGAACCAGGACGACCAAGAAATCCCTTTCCGGCTCCGAGAGATTATGAGAAGCCGCCAGGAGATGAAAAATCCCATCAGTAACAAGAAGAGAAAGAAAGAAGGTAACGTGCAGGCCCATGCTGGGTGGCAGCAACAAAGCTTTGTGTGTTTGAATCCACATATGGTGATTCAGGCAGAAGAAGTCTGCCAAGACCCCGTGGTTTGATGAGGCTGCAGGAACGTGTGGGCACCAACCAAAGGCTGGTGTCACCGGGGCCAAGAGGTGGTTGGCAGCAGGTGGTAGTGCGGTTTCAGATGAGGCTCCAGAAAAACCCCATGGGGCTTCTTGTAAGGATTGTGGACTCCCCTCCCCCCCGAAGGAGTGGAGATCCTTCAGCCCCCCTGAAGGAGTGGAGATCCTTCAGACGGAATGGAGGGTTCTGATTTACTTTGAGAAGAAAACACTGTAACAACTGACGGAGTGGACACGACAGGCCAGTGAAGCTCCTGCCAGTGAGAAATGGCGGTTTCTTGGACCGGAGCGCAGAAAGGATGGTGGAGAGAAGTGGACGTTTTCCGGAGGTTAAGGAGAGAATTTCTCAGACCCCCCCTGAGAAACTTACATTTTCAACCCTCACCCAAGGCCAGGCTGGGTGTCCACCTGTCAGCCTCTGCCAGAAATAGCACTCAGGGCATTTAGGGTGGGGGGGGGGGAGTCCAGCATGTTCTGTGTATGGGAATGTTTTCCCAAATGTGAGATTGATTTTTCAGCAGTGCTCTTTTATAATTTCTTTGTAAATCCCCCGGTTATCGGTGGGGGTTATGTGACTGCCAAAGAGAACGTGAAAGAGGCACCGGAGGGGGGGGATTGGAGGAGGCACACTGGCCCCGGTGGCAGATGGCACAGTTTGAACTGTGCTCTATTGAGCTAGCACTTGTTTTTGGTTATTTAAGAGATACACGCTCACGTGCAGGGTACGTCAAGCGGTTCTGAAAGGTATGACGTACAGCATAGCCTGGCTCTGTCTCTGAATCCTGCTGTCACCCTTTAAGAGAAAAGCACTGTTTGTCTTCTCGGATGCCTTCCCAAGAGAGATGCTCTGCACATTCACACGTGCTTACAGTGGAAAAGCTACACGTTCATTCTGTGCATTGCTTACCATCCTGGATGTGTGAGATAAAGTCTTCATGCGAACGTAGGGTGCTTACTCAACCAGCCATGTTTTGAGAGACATTTAGGTTACTTCCTGTTTTGTTTTTCACCCAAGCTGTGGTGGACATGTGGGGAGCGGTGGGCTGTGGGGCCCCGTCCGCACGGGTGCCTGGCTGGGCTTCCTGACTCCTCTTCAGCTACCGTGGTTGGGCCACTCCCACTGGGTCTGCTCTCCCTTCCCCATGGCCTTGGGCAGGGTCACGAGCATGTGCAGCCAGCCTGGCACCATCTCCCTCCTGTCCCTCATGCCACACCCCCCTCTGTCCTCAGCCCAGGTGGCCTTCAGAAAGATGTTGGAGAAGGAAGCAAAGGGAGTAGAGCCAGACATCGCTGTCCCCAAGTTTAAGCAGAGGAAGTGGGAGTCTGACAGGGCCTACATCCAACGTATGGAGCAGGAGACCCAGCACGTGCTCTTCCTCAGCAAGAACCAGGCGGCCCGGCAACCTGAGGTGCAGGTGGCTCCCAAGAAGGAGAAATCGGAGAGGAAGAAAGCGTGAGTGGGGGCGGGGTAGGGGCTGGGGTCCCAGACCGTCTCCTGCAGTAGCCGAACGGGGAGCACAGAGAGAAGTGAAAGGCCAGTCAGTTGGTGAGTGCGTTTCTCTACACCAAATCTCTTAACCTTGGGGGTTCAGGGAGCCCCTGAAGGCCTTTGTCTTTGCCTTTCTCTGGAAAAGCATCAAGAGGGCCCAAGAGCCAGGTGAGGTGAAGGGCCAGCTGTCCCCCCGGCCAGCTGCAGTGGGGAGGTGGAAAAAAGATGAGGCTCGATGCTCCCTCGGGAAGGCTTGCTGGCCACTGGGGCCCATGCCTGCCCCGCCGGGGATCAGTACTATATGTCGGGGTTCCACGCAGCCTCGGGGTCCCCTGCTTCTGGCTGGCAGGTGCTGCGTCCTCTCTGAGAGCCTTTGGCTGTGCCGTACGCACCAGCTCTGCGGCTCCTCTCAGCCCTGGCGCCTTGTCCGTAAAGTAGGGATACCAGCATCTCCAGCGGGGGTTCGGGCGGCATCGGGTGATGGGGGAGCCCGCTGCCAGCTGGGGCTCCCCTGCCCCCCAGCCCTCAAGTCTGGGAAGGAAGCCATGTGCCACCTCCCGGGGCCTGCGGCAGGAGCTGGGGGGTGGTTTCCACAAATAAGAGCTATTTGAACTGTTTCTGCCGTAGCTGCAGCTTTTGAGGTGAGCAGCCCGGGCTTCCCTCTGCAGCTCCCTCGCCAGCTGTGGGCCTGGGGCGGTCTGCGTGCTCTTGGAGCTGGCAGTCAGGTCAGGTGACCGGAAGACCATCCCAGGGAACCTGTCTCGTGCAGCGCCTGGAGCCGCGGAGATGCCCTCAACACGGGGCTGCTCTGCGAGACCCTGGAGATGCGGTTGCACGGCTGATACTCGGGGCCGTTCTGTGCGGCAGAGGGTGGGAGCACCCGAGGTGGGTGCCAGGAGCGCCCCGCCCCATTGTGACAACCCGGACCACCTCCGGACCTCGTCAGACGTGCCGTGGGCGCACCGCTGCCCCCACCAAGAACCGCTGACTTGGAACTCTGGGCGCCTGCCGTTGGGAGCCCTGTCTGGTGTGCGGCTGGGAGACACGGCAGCAGCTCGCTGGGGTCCGCTCTGGGGCACCCCTCCCAGGCAGCGGTGAGCTCTGCAGCGAGATGAGAGTTTGGGAGTCTGAACGGCGTCGTGCTTTCTTCCCCAGGTTCCAGCAACGGCGGCTGGATAAAGTCCGGCAGAGAAGGGAGGAAAAGGCCGCAGAAAGGCTCGAGCAGGAGCTGCTCCGAGGTAGCTGTTCCAGCAGCAACTGTGTCGGCCTCGGGCACCGCAGTCTTCGCGGGGTCAGAGGGTGGGGGTCGTGGCTGGCGGGGGTCAGCGGGTGGAGGCCGAGGCCTCACCTGTGCTCCTCTGCCCCTCCAGACACGGTGCACTTCGGCGAGGTCGCCCTGCAGCCCCCAGAGCTGACCGCCCGGCCCAGGATGAGCACAAGCAGGGGCCAGGTGAGCAGGGGCGGGGGTCGCCCTGCACGTGCCCCAGCGCGGCCTGCTCCTCGGCCTGAGGACGGAGTGCCGCACCCTCACTGGGCATACGGCAGTTGGACCAGCGTGGGCTCTTTGTCCTTTCCCCTCCTTCCCAAACCTGTGCCTCAACTTCCATCTCTGTCCTTTAGCCTGCGAAGAAATCGCTGATGCTGAGGAGGCTTCTGAGCCCTGGTGGTGTGTCCCAGCCTCCGACCACGTCACTGGCCCGACAGCGGATCGTTGGGGAGGAGCGGGAGCGGGCTGTGCGGGCCTACAGGGCGCTCAAGCGGCAGCGGCAGGCAGCTCAGTTACCACGGCCACTGGATTCGCCACGCCCCGCTTCCAGGAAGAAGGCAGAGACGTGTCTGTGATGGCGAGACCGGGGCCTCCACAGTGTGGCCGGGGAGGGCGGGTAGACCGCCTGTGGACAAGGGTCCTTCCCCTGGAACACGCCGGGACTCCCAGGCGCCCACGTACCAGCTCTCGAGTGCAGAACGGGGCTCCAGGTCTTTGCTCTCTCGTTTTTCCTCCCCTGAGATGGCTCTTTCGTGACTGACCATCTGCTGGGCCATCTGCCACAGGACACTGTCCCAAGTCCCCACAGACAGGCCAGCACCTGATTGGGATGTAGCCAGTCGGGCATCCCTGGCGTCATTCCCTTGAACCCGGCGTCGCACACAGCTTTGTTCTGAACACACGGGTCCAGCCTGAGGCCCCCCACGGCCATTTCCGGGAGGGCCCGGCCCGTAATCCTGCCCTTAAGCACCCATTAATCATAGACACTGCAGGCTTGGCCAGCCAAGCTGGTACCTCAGGCTCCGTTGGGCTCAACAGCGCCGCACAGACCAGGTGGGGGCGGGCTCAGTGCCTCGGCCACCTGGCCCCGCTCCTGGCGCCTTGTCCCTGAGGCCACACCCCCATGCCTGGGAGACCGGTGCCACCCCCACACCGAGCTGGTTCCAGGTTTGTTCCTTGTGTCCTCAAGGTCTCTAGGGAGAGAAGAGCAGGTCTGAAGCAGCTTGACGGCAAGCACAGGACCCTGACCCCACGACTTTCTCGTGGCTGAAGAGGCTGCCGAATTCCAGCCAAAGGAGGGAGCCGGCCACAGGACTGGGGGTGCGGGGCGGGAAGACTCCAGGGCTCCCGGAGGTCAGAGGTGGAAGCTTGAAGGGGAGGAGTCCTGCTCTCGTCCCTGCGAGGGCCCCTGGCTCCTCCCTCGGGCTCACCGGCTCAGGAGCCTCTGGCTGGCAGAGCTGGGCCGGGACAGCTTGGAGGTGCCATCCCCGCCTTGGCCAGGGTGGCCCTGCACAGTGGGGAGTGTGCACATGTGGGTCCTTTTTGCCCCTCCCCGAGTTTGTGTCCTTTATGTTTATTTCAAATCCGGAACTTTTGCGTTGAAGCCGTATTTGAGATCAGGCCTGCTACCATCTTAGGAGTGTGTTTGTGGGTGGTGGGGGCCTGTCCCTTGCATGGGGTGAGCAGGGTCCCCCCAGATTGCAGGGGGCAGGCAGGAGCAGGGGTGAACACAGTCCCTGAGAAACACCTGTGTCCCTGGGCTCCTGCCAGGAGCAGGAAGGTGGAAGCAGGTTGTGGTTGGAGGAAATTTGCCTTTCAAAACCGAGTTCCCACGTCAGCTGTCCTCAGGCCTGTCAGGGTCCCCAACTTGCCCAGGCCGGCTTTACCATGAGAGATCGCCAGGCCCAAATCTCAGACCTGGACCCTGAGTCGGAGGCACCCCTCAGAGATGGTGCACACACTGGGGTCACCCCTAGAGACAGAACAAAGTCTCCTGAGTGCACGGAGTTTTCTGAAGGTGGGGGGTGTAAGGAGAGCCCATTCACCCTGCAGGCCACTTGCCCGTGACATCTACCAGGACTCCACCCACGGGCTGGAGACCACCTGTACCTACAGCTGCTCGGCGGGACTCCTGGGTGGTGGTGCCCTTCCCCGAGAGGAGGGCTGCGGGGTTTGTCACTTCCAGGGGGTGGGGAGAGACTCAAGCCCAAGTTGCCCTGCTGTCTGTGCAAGAGCCTTTTTGAAGCACTTCCAACCCCCAAGTGAACACACCAACAGGGGCCGGGGGAAGCCGCATGCAGGCGGAAGCCCTGGGCCTGTGCCCTGCACGTGGGAAGCGAGACAGCAGGTGCCTGGCGTCCCTTTGTGGCCGACCAGCCTCTGCTGCCAGCTGAGATGGAGAAAGGCATTTGGGGAAGACTCACAACTGCGCCCAGGAGTAGAGGGGTCTTAGCCAACTGCAGCGGGCCGGACAGCAGCCCTAAAGCGAGGGCTCCCCACGACCCGGGGAACACACAAACGTGACCTTATTTCAGAAAAGGGTCTTTGCGCACGTAACGACGGATCTCAAGAGGAGGTCATCTGGATTTGGGGTGGGTCCTAAATCTAGTGACAGGTGTCCCCATAAGGAGCAACGGCCACGTGAAGACAGGCAGGCGTTCGAGTTCTGTGAGTGATGAGCCAAGTTACAGCAAGAGTTCCCAGGAGCTGCTAGAAGCCAGAAGGGAAGCAAAGAATGCCTCCCTCAGAGCCCCTGGCCCTGCTGACTGATTCCAGCTCTGGCCTCCAGAGCGGTCAGCGTAAGGTGTCTTCAGCCACAGGTCTGTGGTGACTTTGTGGCGGGGGCTCTAGGACGTGAACACCCCCGTCAGGTGTCCCCCACGAGCCCCCTCAACTGAGCACAGTGCCCCCCCACCCCCCCATGCTCGCCAGCCCACGGGAGTCCTATGCACCCCTCAGTGTGACCAACGTTTACCAAACGAATAAAAACACTTCTCATTCTGACTCCAGACTTGGTTCTTCCTAAGACAACGGCCTCATACAGTGGAGGCCGTGTCGCCGGCACATCAGAAACTCAACGGGTACAGTTTGTACCACAGCCCACAGAGCGAGTCTGTGGTCCCAGGCAGTCTGGACAGCTTCAGGAAAGTAGAGCCGCTTTCCTGATGGGTGGGGCACGCACCCCAGTGGCACAGTCCCAGGATGGCGGCAGGACACTCGGCCACCCCGCAGGCCGGTCGTCTTCTCCCAGCCCTGGAGACAGTCTCGTCGTTCAGAGGCCAGTTTACCCCTCACTGCGACTCAGGACAGGAGCGCATCTCCTAGGCTCACATTGGGCCATCCTGTCCGTAATGAGAACAGAGGGCTGGAGGCCAAGCGCTGCCACTCTCTGCCTCCTGCCCCGAGCTGCTGGCCACGGCTCTCCTCCTGGTAGTCATCTGTCCGCTCTGTGGGTGTCCCGGAGCCAGCGCAGCACCTCTGATAAGCCAGTGCCCTTCTGGGCACTGATTTCTGCTATGGTGATGTTCTGCTTGGCACAGGCAATGATGTCTGGGAGCCTGATCAGGGACTTCATCTCCTCTACGGTCATGTAACAGGGCAGGTCACTAGGGCAGAAGGCGCGCCCTGTCAAGGTGGGCTGCCCACCAGCCCACCCCAACCCCCACGGTACCCCTGCCCCCAAGCCATGAGCCACCCTCCCGGGACTCCCGGCCGTGCACTCCTCCGGGAGGACAGGACCGTACATCTTATTGAAGAGGATCAAGACCGATGCTTCCGCGAGTTGTTCTGCTGAAAGGAGACCCAGAAGTTGCACGCAGGATGCAGACAGCTGAGTGGGGTTAGCAGCGTCCATCATGAACTGGGGAGGAAGAAAACGGAAACAGGGCCACCCCGTGAAGGAGACAGTCTTCCCCAAATCCTCTCCCTGGGGCAGCAAGACCTGGCTCAGGGAGAGCAAAATGACTTTCAAACAAAGGATTTGGGGGACAGCGGAAGTAGAGGAAACGACTTGCGTGAGAGGGACCTGATGTCACTTGTTTTCATCTATGGAGATCCCTCTAGTCACGTGGCCATCAGTTCTCCCAGGAAGGGTCCTGGGATTTGGGGCACAGGCCTTGCTGAGATCGGGATTCAAACACAAACATAAAAACACACCCAGAGGAACGAGGCAGAGAATAAACGCTCCTCTCAGCAAACCTCGCGAGAGCTTTTATGTCAGCCCTGACACAGATGCACTCAGGGCTCAAGCTGGATTCCGAAAAGGAAGCAACTCGAAGCTGGGTCACGTTTCCTTGACTTCGCCTAATTGCTCAGGAACCCCAACTCCAGCCGGTGCAGCATGAGGCCCAGCACCAGACAACACTTAAGAGAGGCGCAAAGGATTACAACCTACCAGGAGAGAATGGCAGTTTCCAAAGTAGCTGGACCAGATGGGGCCCATGCACCCTCCCAGCTCCCGGATGGTAACCTTTCTCTGGAGGACGATGTCAGTGAGGTTGGTGCCCACCTGTGGGAAAACTCGAGATGCACAAAGGACACAAGCGCCTTCCCACTGGGAACTCCTGGCTGGCAGCTCTCTATATTGTGATCTACCTCCAAAACGCCACTTGTCAAGGGCTCAGTCCCTAAAGCACAACCCAACGCAAGGAATACTAAATTGGTTTCGAGGGTCCACTGCCCTAACCCTCAGAGCTGGCTGTGGCCGCAGCACCCACACCCATCAGGGGGATTCGCCCTCTGCGGCGACCAGAGAAAGCCCTCTCAAGAGTGGGGCGGGGCGGGCGGCTGGGGGGGGGGGTGCTGTCACTCACCCACCTCCCCTGCAGCTGGGTCCCAGTATGCAGTCTCCTTCCCAGGACACCCCTCACCTCCCGAGGGTTGGATTCGACACAGGGACCGGCCGGACTCCAGCAGCCGCTTAGAACAGCCCACAGCACTTTGCAAACCGCGAAGGGTACCCGCTTGTCCTAACCCCGAGACGGCGGGTGCCTACCGTGGGCCGCGTCGGGGGAGCATCGCCCAGGTCGCCCTTCCCATCCCCGGAGCTCAGCTGTGCGCGCGGTCAAGGATCCCAAGAGCCAGACGCGGAAGGACGGCGGCTGCCGGACCCCGCCCGGGAAACACCCCCCATCCCCGGCGGCCCCGACCCCGACCCCGGCGCTCCCAGCCCCTCCCAGGGCGCACCCCCGGCCCCCGCACTAGGCCCCCGACGCCCCCCCTCAGTCCCCCGCCCGGCGCGGAAGGATAGTCTGCAGCCTTTTCACCAACAGCGTTTTCCCGACACCCGTGGCCCCCAGGAGAAGACACATCGCGCTCCCGGGCTCCACCTGGCACCCGTAACTCGGCAAGTCCCGCCCTCCACCCCGCTTTCATTGGATAGGTCTCACGCCCAAGCTCTTCATTGGTTCGCGGCGCTCAGCCTGGACCCGCCCAATCGGCGCAGCCTCTGGGGAGAGCCAAAAAGCCCGCCTCCTCGCGGCCCGCGGCCCGGCCCGGCGACGCGCGCGTGCGCGCGCCCGGGGAAAAGGCGGAAGCGGAAGTCGGGGGCGCGCCGGTTCGCAGCAGGGAGCGCGGCGGCGTCGGGTCGGGGTCCGGGGGCGCCATGGGGCGCGGCAGCGGCACCTTCGAGCGTCTCCTAGGTAACGTGGCCCCCGCCCCCCGCGGCTCGGCCGGCGTCCTGGAGCTGAGCCGGGAGCCGGCCGCCGAGCGACCTGGGCCCCCGGGGTGTGGGTGGGCGCGCCCGCGCTGTGGGGACCGGGCAGTCCGGGGCGCTGGGCGCGGGCTCCGACCCGAGTAGGTGAGGGTCCGCGGGGGAGAGCAGGCCCGCGCCCGCGGAGACTGCGCTCGGGGCCCTGCTCCTGGGCCGGGGAAACGATCGGCTCCTGGAGCCACAAGCATCTGACTGAGCGGCCCACAAGTCCTGAGTCACGGAGACGGGTGACCTGGTTACAGAGACCCGCTCCCCCAAAAATCCTAGGTCGCATGGGGTTTGAGGGTGCCCATTGGGCTCCAAAGGGTTTCCACCAGTAGTGTCATCCCTAGGACCTGCCACGCTCTTGTGAGCGCTGCTTCCTTGGGGAACCAGGCCAGCCCTGTCTGTCCCCACTGGGCTCCCGGAAGGCCGCGGTGGCTTAGGAAGGCGGGTTTTCTGTTTGCCGGAGGTGGAGCTGATCCTTTCGGAGCCTCCCGGGAGGTCACAAGTTGTAGCAAGGAGAGTGACTGTTTACGGACGTGACCTCTTCTGCCCCCAATGAAACTGCATGGGCTCCGTTTGGGGTCGGGGCTCCCGGTGCCCCAGCGGTCAGTCTGAGCCCGTCCTGCCTTCCCCTTGAATGTGGTTTTGGAGAAGACCTCGGACGAGGTACCTTCCTTGTTCCGAGAACACACAGGCTGAGAGGCGGCTCAGCCCTCCAGAGACCCATCCCCAGGTTACTACCAGACCGGTACTACGAGTGGGTGCGCCTCGTCAGATCACCTGAGTGTCCCGGGAGCAGAGCCGGTGCATCTGCCTGAGGCAGCTGTGGTGTGGAGAGGGTGTAGGTGTTAGTCAGGGAGTAGTTCTTGGGGGTCTTCTGTCTTCATCCCACAAAGCACTTGCACCTTCCCTAGCCTCACCCCTGCTGGCGTCTCATCAACCTGACTAAACTTGGGGAGAACCGGGGACTCTGTGGGATGAGGTGGCCGAGTGCAGTTTTGAACCCTGCCTGGCTCTGCCCCCGCGAGCCGGGCCACCTCCCTTCCCGGCTTCGTTGTTTTGTCAGTTAGGGGGATGGAAACAGGACCTCGCTGGTGAGGCCGTGTCAGAACTCGGCATTCGCGTAAACCGTTTGGAACAGCGCTTGGCCCACAAGTGCGTAACGGGTGCTCTGTATCGTCATGTTTTAAGCGGTCGGCCCTTTTCTGAGAAGGACAGCCGTCTCGTGATCATCAGGTGGCAAGAGGATTTCCATGTGGTTTTCCACTCGGTGCAAACGTCTGAGATGGGAAGGAGACCGTCTCCCCTCCCTGTTGCGGATCTCTGGGGCCACCTAGGGAATCAGACGAAGGCCGAGCCCCAGTAATGATGCATTTTTGCTTTAGACAAAGCGACCAGCCAGCTCCTGCTGGAGACCGACTGGGAGTCCATCCTCCAGATCTGTGACCTCATCCGTCAGGGGGACACACAGTAAGTGAGGCGGGCGGCCCCACGGCGCTCTCCGGGTTGCTTGGCGCCCTCTGATGCGCCCGAATCCGGCACCACCTGCCCTCCTGGCAGCAGGTCCTGAGGGGGAGAACGGAACGGTCTCCACACAGGGCGTTTTGGGATCTGGGGACGGCAGAAGGGTTTCGTCCGTACAGTCTGGCGGTGCGTGACTCTTAGTGTTTGCTTGGGGGTTTTGAGGACCAGAGGGTGGGTGGGCTTTCCTCAATGGTAGCTTCTGAAATGGTTTGTTCTTTCTTCTCTTTCTTTTACTGGCGTCCTTTTCTTTCAGAGCTAAATATGCTGTGAGTTCTATCAAGAAGAAAGTCAATGACAAGAATCCCCACGTGGCCTTGTATGCGCTGGAGGTAACCAGTCTCCTGCACTCGGGCCACCTCAGGGGTCTGCACCCCTGGTGTCTGTCGGGAAGGCAGAGGCGAGTTGAGCCCGGGGCCTTGCCCACCTGCCTGGGGAAGGAGGGCAGGTATGAGCAGCCTGATGGAGGGCAGCGCCTCAGCCATGCCGCCCGCAGCTGGCCCGCCTAGGGCCCTGAGCTTGACCCTAGTCTCTGTCCCTGGGTAAGAACTGCAGTCTGAAGGGGAGCGTGCTAGCACGGCTTGCTGCCGGACCCAGAGCTGCCACGTGGATCCTTCGACGGGCTGGGTGCCCGAGGGGCCTGTCTTCTCATGGGCAGGTGGGTGTGTCTGAGAGGGGCATCCCCACCCTGACCAGGGGCTCGGCCCGTCCCTTCCTCGGGTCCCGCAGGTCATGGAGTCTGTGGTGAAGAACTGCGGCCAGACGGTCCACGACGAGGTGGCCAACAAGCAGACCATGGAGGAGCTGAAGGAGCTGTTGAAGGTGAGCACATGCGAGGGGCAGGGAGGTCTCGAGTGCCGAGCACACAGCGGCCCCAAGGGTGGGCTTTTCTGGGTGTTTGCTGGCACCTGGGGCAGGAGCCAGGCAGAGCAGAGAACAGGAAGGGGAGCACCTCGAGGATCCCACTTTGGTGAGGTCGGGGCTTCACCGGAAGGGAGCCGGTCTGCCGCGTCTGGGGACACAGGAGACTGCCATTCCTGGGGAAAGGCTTCCCAGGGGCAGGGCTCTGGGCTTCACTGGGTGGTGGGGAGCTGTGTGTGCATGAGTGGCTACGGACAGGGTGTCCGGGTAGAGGGCTGGGGGGAGCCCCAGAGGGTGGCTGGGGGTGTCGGACGTGCAGAGCCAGGATTCTGAGCAGGGAGGCACATGACGTGTTCGTGGAGGGAGAGCTGGGGGAGACGGCACAGCAGGGACACCTTCGGGAGTGGGTCTCATGCTCTGTTCGTAGAGGAGGGACCGTCCTCCGGAGCCGCCACCCAGCTGCAGGGATTGTGACGTGGGTGGTGACAGTAGGAGGCTGAGTGATGCACAGTGGGCGGTGCAGCCATTCTTTGAGGTGAAAGGGTGTCCCACAGGGGTGAGGCCATGGGGGCAGCCAAGGAGCCCAGCCCCAACACCGCTTCTGTCACCACAGGTGGGTGAGGCCACAGATTCCCGGCCTGCGTGGGCACCTGGACCTGGGCCTGAGATGGGCCCTGATGGTGACCCAGGCAGTCCTTAGCATGGCCTGGCTAAACGGTCAGGACGGCTGGCCCTGCTCCCCTGGCCCTGGCACGGCTGCATCCGTGTGTGCCACACGTGGCCTGAGCCTGTTAGCCCCGCTTTGCAGAGGGAGGGAAACCGTGGGAAAGAGGGGTCCGCTCACTGGACACAGATCACGGGGGAGAACCGAGGCCTCGTGTGTGTCTAGCTGGCATCTCCAGGAAGCAGCTTGCTCACCCCGCTGTCTTCCTGAGTGTCTCTGAGAGCTCTGGAAACGTGACTGGCCGAGCTCAAACCTGGCGGAAATGGTGGCTCTGCACGTGGGGAGGGTCCTGGAGCCGCTGTCCCCCACCCACACAGGCCAGTTCTGACCAGGGGAGAGGCGGCTGGCCGAGTGTCCACCCCCTGGGCACAGGCCTGCCGGGCTCTGCCTGTTAGGTCAGAGCCTGGTGATCGCCGCAGCCACAGTGGGTTACAGACTGAGGGGCCTGTGGGCTTGGTCAGGGTGCCACGGGGCAGGGCAGGAGGAAGCGGGTTAGGGTTAGGGCTAGGGTAGCGAGTGGGTCTGGGGAGCTGGGCTTCAGGGAGGCCCCAGCTTTTCCCAGGGAGCTGAAGACAAGCAGGGGCCCGAGTGGGTACACGGCTGTGCTGGGCTCATCCTCGGGGCCGGGGCTTTGCAGAGGAGCGTTGGGCCTGGGGAGTGGGTCCGTGCGTGGTCCCCGTGCCCCCCCCCAGGGGGCCTCCCCACACGCCCCTGCAGGCCCCGGCTCAGAGTGGTGCTGTGCCCCCCACCGCCCTCCTGCCGGCCCTGTTGCCCTGCCGCTTCCTCCCGTGACGCCCTCTCTGGTGTTCTCGTCTCACGGCCCTCGTCGTTCTCTTACCTCCTTTCTCTGCAGAGGCAGGTGGAAGTAAACGTCCGAAACAAGATTCTGTATCTGATCCAGGCCTGGGCGCACGCCTTCCGGAATGAGCCCAAGTACAAGGTGGTCCAGGACACGTACCAGATCATGAAGGTGGAAGGTAAGCTGGGTGGGGTCTGTTGGGTCCCAGGCTTGGGGCGCAGCCTCTGGGAGCCGAGGGGCCGCTCCGCACCAGGCCGCCCCAGGGAAGACTGTGTGCACTGCGGGCAGGGCAGGGGGCGGCACCGTGCTGCGTGACCGGTGGTGGGAGCATGTGGTAGTGTCCCCGTGGGGCAGCCTGGCACCCCCGCCTTTCTGGACC